AGGGCCGAGAGGCAGCAGGACACATTTGGGAGCCTGGGGAAGACTCCCCGCTCACATTCAGCCCAGTTTGGCTATGGGGTTGGAAACAAATGGAGCTGCGAGGGGCTATTCTGGGGTGTGATGGTAGCATGCGCAAGTCTGATAGATGAAGGGCATCTGCCTGTAGTGGCGAGGTCCCCAGATGCCACCTGGCTCTCAGCAGTTCAGGAAGAGTGCTGTGCTGGAGTAGCTTCTTCTGTTAACTCAAGGAGTGCTCCCAAAACTTGTGGAGGATATTAACTACTTTTGTAAAGACTAAGCACCTCACTCTGAAGGGGAGCACTTTGACAGACCACTCAAGTTCAACGTCCCAGCCTACTTCATCACACACACACACACACACACACACACACACACACACACACACACACACACACACCACACCGTGGCTTCCCTCCACCCCCCACACTTACTGACCCTAAGGTGTCACACTTCTTGTCCCCCCAAGTGCTCCAGAAAGCACCTTCTGTAGCCATGGGACAGGCAGCCGCCGCCACTGACAGCACAAGCCAAGTAGCCTTGCACCCTAGGAAACACCTCCAACAGGTGAGACTCCTCCTACGGAGGGCGAGAGGGAGGTGCCCTGGCAGGGCCTATTCCAGAATACGCTCCTGAAACACTTGCAAAAGCCAAAGTGACAGACAGGTGGGCGGAGCAGCCAACACGTGTGCAGTGGGATGAGAATGGGGTGAGCAAGGCCACTCCAGTGAGCACGCGTACGTACACACACACCACACACACTATAACCTCGTCCAGCACTAGTCAGACAAGCACGCTGCAAACACGATGCATACCACATACAGTGCAGAACACAAACAAGCTTTCAGTAAACAACCTACACTTGTGCAAGCATTGCCTCCGTCCCCTCACCTGTGTGCAGTCACTGTCCCCTCACCTCTGTGTGCAGTCACCGTCCCCTCACCTCTGTGTGCAGTCACCGTCCCCTCACCTCTGTGTGCAGTCACCGTCCCCTCACCTCTGTGTGCAGTCACCGTCCCCTCACCTCTGCGTGCAGTCACCGTCCCCTCACCACTGTGTGCAGTCACTGTCCCCTCACCTGTGTGCAGTCACTGTCCCCTCACCTCTGTGTGCACTGTCCCTTCACCTGTGTGCACTGTCCCCTCACCTCTGTGTGCAGTCACTGTCCCCTCACCTCTGTGTGCACTGTCCCCTCACCTCTGTGTGCAGTCACTGTCCCCTCACCTCTGTGTGCAGTCACTGTCCCCTCACCTCTGTGTGCACTGTCCCCTCACCTCTGTGTGCACTGTCCCCTCACCTCTGTGTGCACTGTCCCCTCACCTCTGTGTGCAGTCACTGTCCCCTCATCTCTGTCTGTAGTTACTGTCACCCTTCACTACTATCTGTATTTTGCTGCCCCCACCCTTTCCCCTCTACTTGTGTTACAGGCATAGTCCTCCTGGAACAAGAACCCTATTCTGTTCCCTTGGCCCCCACTGGCTGTGTGCTGTGGCAACCTTGCCATAATAGAGCTCCTGCAGGCGAGCAGTTGCTATGGAGGCACCCATGAGAAGACTTCTTCCCTCCCAGGAATCTGGCCCACAGGGTGCAGGGGCACACGGGGTGGGGAGCACGCCCACGCAGGGTCCCTCAGGCCCACAGGTATAGCAGAAGTTCTGATGTGCTCTGCTGCACCTGCTTAATTGGAACTTCAACCCAGCTTGTTGTAGACAGCAAGGTCCACACAGCCCAAAGCACAGCAGGGCCAAGAATGGCTCCAGCCCTCCAGCTGTGTGTGTAGCCCCAGCCTACCACAGGACGTAGGCCTGGGACCAGAGATCTGTCCAAAAGGGGCTGCAGGGAAACCTCGCAGGACCAAGCGGACAGCAGGTGGCATGACCGCTGACTGGGCAGTGGCCTATCCAGGCACATGCCCACAGCCATTCACTAGGCTGGTGCAGTCTGGACTCCACACTGGACTGTGTACATCCATCAGACCCTTAGAGTTGGCAGTGTTCACATGGGCCCTGCAGCCCAGCCTGGGTCCCCACGGACAGGACTGGATGCTGGCCCAGGCCATGACTTCGCCATGGACCTTTCGGGGGTCAGAGAAGGACGATGATGACCTCGTTGCTCACTCCTTTAATCCAAAGTGTAAACACACGCAGGCAGCATCTCCAGGCAGACGCGAACAGGACATCTGACTGGGAGAAGTTCGTCCCCATGAGTCCTACTGACGGGGTACTGCGGGATGTTTACAATACTGAGGCCTTCCACTGGACACTAGGAGCCAGGCAGCAGCCAAAAGATACTTCCTGGGGAACAGAGACAGGCCTCTCCTGCAGGAACAAACAAAAAGCAAACCACAGGGCCCAAGGTGGGGCGTGAGCTCACTGTCTATATGGTATTCAGAACACAGAACACCTTGCACCACCTAAGGTATGCTACGATTTGTCAACAACTGAAAAAAAAAATCAAACACGGAAAGGTTTGGGAAAAAAGAGAAAGGGGAAAACTTCAGGAAATTAGAGCACCCACCTATTAATTTGAAGGTCCAGAGTAAAACAGAGAAAGTGAACAAAAATTCATTCAAACTAGCGGTCAGAAAATTGGCCAGCATGGAGAACATGAGCTTGGCAAGCACAGACACCCCAAAGTAGCTAAGACACTCCATGGACACAGACCCTAGGATTCAGGTGCCAGAAGACAGGAGCCAGCCATGTTCACCCTCACCCAGACCAGGGTCACGCCACACACCTGCAGACACATGGTTTTTGCAGCACACCAGGAGAGGGGATGACAGGAGAATGAGAGAGCAAGAGAACAAAGGGCTGGTGTGGTAACTCAGTGGCTAAATCCTTGCCTAGCACATGCCAGGATCCCATATAGGCTTGGGTTTGCCTAGCTGTTCCACTTCCCTGACTGTGGCCTAGAAAACCAGCCATTGCAGTCACTTGGGGAACCAGCAGATGGAAGATCTCTCTCTCTCTGTAATTCTGCCTTTCCAAGAAAAATAAACAAATCTCAAAGAAAAAAGAGATAGAGAAACAGAGGGACAGACCAATCTAGGTCAGAAAAGTATGCGGCCAGCACAGGGTGTGTGAGAGCTCTGCTGTAGTTCAGAGGCCATCAGGGATCCAAACCCTGAACAGACACAGAATTGGGGGTTAAAAGCCAAGTGCCATGCCACCTGAACCCTAGCACCCACACGAGCAGTTCTGATCCAGCTCCCTGCTAATAACCTGGGAGAAGCTTGGCTCTTGGTGTCACCTGGCCCAGTGCAAGGGGATCGCTCTCTATCACTCTGCCTATCACACAACTTTTAAAAGGTAGTGAGGAGGGGGCCCGGCGGGGTGGCGCAAGTGGTTAAGGTCCTCGCCTTGCACGCCCGGGATCCCATATGGGCGCCGGTTCTATCCCGGCAGCCCCGCTTCCCTTCCAGCTCCCTGCCTATGGCCTGGGAAAGCAGTTGAAAACGGCCCAAAGCTTTGGGACCCTGCACCAGCGTGGGGGACCCGGAAGAGGCTCCTGGCTTCGGATCAGCATAGCATCGGCCGTTGCGCTCACTTAGGGAGTGAAGCATCGGACGGAAGATCTTCCTCTCTGTCTCTCCTCTCTGTATATCCGCCTTTCCAGTAAAAAAATAATAAAAATAAATCTTAAAAAAAAAAAAAGGTAGCGAGGAGGGCCCAGCACCATAGCGTAACAGTTAAGGTCCTCGCCTTGAACACGCTGGGATCCAATATGGGCGCCGGTTCTAATCCCAGCAGCTCCACTTCCCATCCAGCTCCCTGCTTGTGCCCTGGGAAAGCAGTCAAGGATGGCCCAAAGCCTTGGGATCCTGCACTCGCGTGGGAGACCCGGAAAGAAGTTCCCGGCTCCTGGCTTTGAATCGGCACAGCACCAGCCATTGTGGCCACTTGGGAAGTGAATCATCGGACAGAAGATCTTCCTCTCTGTACATCTGCCTTCCCAATAAAATAAATAAATCTTAAAAAAAGAAAAAAAGAAAAAAAAAGGGTAGTAAGGAAGGGAAAACCCTGTGTGACTCTGGTTTGCTGACTGTGTGAGTGCCAACGGAGGCCAACCCTGGGTGGGGGCAAACCAGCAATGCGGCCACTCTGTGCTGACAGGGGAGGGGCGGGCCCCAAGCAGCTGGCGGTCAGGGCCAGCAGGCTGACATGGACCCTGTCTGTGCAGGAAAGAACAGACCTTAAAATCACACACAGGGCGGGGGTGGGAGACACAGGAGCTGGCCCCTATGGGGACTCGGCCTGCCAGTCTGCAGGGGAAGCCAGGGTCCCGCTGCTAACACACAATAAGGCCTCAGGTGGCCTCCACATGCCAAGTCAGGCCAACCCTGAACAAGCACATCGTGCACAGCGTACGCCTCTGGGTGCTTCCCAGACTCAACCCACGATACAGGCCGGTGGGGGAGGGGGGGTCTGCACCTGCACCGGGGCACTTCCTACGACTCACCCCGTAACACGGTCGGGGGGCTGCACCTGAACCCACCTCGGGACTCTGAGCTCGAGGGGCGCTCCCCACGATCTACCCGGCGACATGGGCCGGGGGACTGCACCTGCCCCGGGGCTTGGGGAGCTCCCTATGACTCACCCCGTGACGAGGGGCGACATGAGCCGGGGAGGGGGCCCACGTGTCACCGCGGGACTCAGGCCGGAGAACACCTGGGACCATGCCAGCTCCACCCTGCCCTCCCGGGGAACAGCGGGCCACGGCCGGGCGCAGGAGCGCCGCCTCTCCCGGACGCACGCCCGACTCTATGGTCTGTGCCGGGCCCACGTGACGCGCGCGCAGCCAATGCGGGCGAGGCCCCGCACCACCGAGACGACGGGGCACGGGCCAGAAGGGCCCCGCGCAGCGGCTCGCGGTCGCCGGCTCGGCTCCGCCGCGGCGCTTGCAGCTCGGCGCTGCCGCCATCTTCCTGGAGGAGACGCTCGAACGCCCAGGACCCCCCGCCCCGGGGTCGCTGCACGGCCGGCAGCCCTCCGTCCTGTCCTCCCACTGCCTCAGCGCCCCCCGGCTGCCCCTCCGCCAGCTGCCCGCGAGACGAAGAGTCGCATTACCTGCTCCGCTCTTATCAGCGTGAGGACACCAAGCTCACAAGGTAGGAAGCGTGGCCAAACGGGGACAGGCCGCCATCTTGGTAAAGGAGAAGAGGCGCCGCTTGACCTCCCCCCGCCCCCCAGCCTCTATATGGCCAACCGCCGTGGGAGGGGCACGGCGCCTGCGCAGAGGCGGTACCACGCAGGAGCCCGCGCCGGCGCACTCGGAGGCCTGCGGCTGAAGGGCGTGGCGTGAGGCCGGGCTGCGCCTGCGCACTCGGAGGTCTGGGGACCGGGGCGAAGCCGGGCGGCGCCTGCGCACTCGGAGGCCGGGTGTGCGGGGCAAGAAACCGAATGCCGAGGGGCGGGGCGGGAGGCCGATCTGCGCCTGCGCACTCAGGCAGTGGGAGGGGACTGGGCGAGAAGCCAAATGCCGAGGGACGGGGCGGGAGGCCGGTCTGCGCCTGCGCACTCAGAGGCAGGGTGGGGCGGGGCGAGAAACCGAATGCCGAAAGGCGGGGCGTGAGGCCGTCCTGCGCCTGCGCACTGACAGACCGGGGGTGGGAACAGGGTGGGAGGCTGGCCTGCGGCTGCGCACTCGGAGGCCGGGGGCGGGGCGGTCGGCGGCCGGCCCGGAAGGAGTTGGCACGGGATCGGGGCGGGCGCTGGGCGTGGCAGCGGCGCGGTCCAAGGGCTCCGTGTCTGTGGGCGCCGGTCGGTGAGTGTTGCTTGGTGCGCGGCCGCAGGCCTTCCGGAGGGTGGCGGGGGCGTGCGGGCTTCTCGGCGGCCCCTCCATCCCGAGAGGCCGTTTTGCCGGGGCCGCCCCCAGCTCGAGCCTGCTAGGCCCGGGCTCGGCGAGTCGGGAGGCCGCGCGCCGCCAGCCGGAGCAGGAACGGGCAGGTTGCCCGGGAGCTTGAGACCGTGGGGTCGTGGGAGCGGCTTTCTGGCGCCCGTGCCCTTGGAATGCGAGAGGCGGGAGTCCTCCTCTGCGGACGTTCACCCCCTGAATGCCTGCGATGTGGGTGCTGGGGCAGCGGGGAACGTCCTCGCCTGTCCCCTCCGCTGCCCTCTTACAATGTCCGATTGCTCCGTGGCCTCCGGTCTTGGGAACGGAATCCGCGGTTCCTTCCGGGGACTTTCCTGTGGCCTTTATGGGCACCATTTGGCGCTGGTGGTGGTACCGGCCCATCGTGATGCCAGGGTGCCACCGCTGACCCTGAGCAAGGGCTGCAAGGGCTCGGCTGGACACGAGGCCCGTCCACACCACACGGAGCGGGGCGAGGCCCGTCCACACCACACAGAGCAGGGGTGAGGTCTGCCCACACCACACATAGCAGGGGTGAGGTCTGCCCACACCACGCGGAGCGGGGCGAGGCCCGTCCACACCACACGGAGCGGGGCGAGGCCCGTCCACACCACACGGAGCAGGGGTTCAGGTGGGCCTTGGTTTGCGTGGTGGAAGTGCTCAGTGATGGTGAGCAGAGCCTGGCCAGTGAGGCTGAGGGACTGAGTGTGTGGGAGCAGCACCGTGGCACGGCCCTGTCCCCCAGGTAAGAGCTGTTGCACCAGCACTGCGCTGTTCTTGCCTTAGGCCTTTATCTTTTCACATTTGTCCGGCTTAGGGGAGTCTGATTAGAGCATTCTGGTTTACTTCTTTCCTGCTGAATTTGTTGGGTCTATCTAAACTGTTGTGCAGGCAATTTTTTCCGTTTTTGTTGTGTGGTCATCACTGCTAGTACAAAAAAAAGCCCTATGAGTTGCCTGATGGGCACCCTGCTGTGTTCTTCTTCCAGTGATACTTTTTACTTTAAAGGAAAAAGATGAACAGATTTGTTTGTTAACTTGAAAGACAAAATTGGAAAGAGACAGGCACATCTTCAGTCTGTCGATTCACTCCTCAAATTGCTGCAGTTACAGGATGGGACCAGGCTATAAGCTGGAACCGGAGACTCCATGTGCGTCTCCCTTGTGTATGCAGGGGCCCAGATACCAGGACAACTTCCTCTACCTTCCTAGGCTGTTAGCAGGGAGCTCAAATGGAAATGGAACAGCTGCGACTAGAACCCCCGTTCACAGTGGGAAGACAGCAATGCAGGTCACAGCTTAACTTCCTGCGTCATGTCAGCCCCTATTATTTCTTCATTTTTTATCATCATTTTACGATGCAGTTCCATAGGCCCTGGGATTTCCTCTAACTCCTCCCTAAGCCTTCCTCCCTACACACACACACACACACACACACCAAGTTCCCCCATATCATTACAACAATGTAGTTCCTTGTAAATTGTCATAAGTCCATCATTGTGGGCACAGACAGTGGCAGAGAGTCCAGCATCCTGTTGTCATGACACATCCAGCAGTTTTGCTCGGAGCCCATCCTCGATCCAGAGGTAGAGATGTACACTGCACCGTATCCTCTCATCTAGCCATGTCAGTCTCCACCACGGTCACTATACATCCGCCCAAGTGAAAAGCCACAAAACAAAATCAACAACAGGAAGGGGAAAAAAGGAATGTACAATGCCGCAAAGTTAAATAGCATGCTACTGAATGAATAATGTGTCGCTAAAGAAATTAAAAAATCAAGAACCTTGAAGAAAATGATGCTGCTGTATGATCTATCAGTCAGTGACAAATGTAAGGAGAAAAGGTGTTTTGAAGAAATGAAAATACCAAAATCCATGAGCTGGGCCTGGCGCGATAGCATAGTGGTTAAAGTCCTCGCCTTGTACGCCACGCCTGGGGTTGCATATGGGTGCCAGTTCTAGTCCTGACGGCCCTGCTTCCCATCCAGCTCCCTGCTGTGGCCTGCAAAGGCAGTTGGGGATGGTCCAAAGCCTTGGGACCCTGCACCCGTGTGGGAGACCCAGAGGAGTTCCTGGCTCCTGGCTCTGGATTGGCTGAGCTCCAGCCGTTGCTTGGAGGGGGGTGGGTCTTCCTCTCTGTATATCTGCCTTTCAATAAAAATAAATAAATCATTTAAAAAAATCCATGAGCTGTGATTTCCACTGATCTTTGTTGGTGAGGTGCGTCTCCTGTAGACAATAAGTAGATGGACTTTGTTTCATTTAATCCAATCTACTAATCCATATTTGATTGATGAGTTTAAGCCATTTGCATTCAGGGTTAATATGAATGGGTGGCAATTTCATCCTATTTTAGCAGTGGGTTGCTAATTGGTTTAGTCTCCTGCTATTTTACTGGGATGTTATTTAAATTTGCCTTTGGTTTTGGTGGATGCTATTCCTTTTCTCTGTGATGAGAACATCTTTCAGTATCATTTGCAGGGCAAATCTGAGGGTGTATTCTTTGAGCTTTTCTGTACTGTGGAAGAATTTTATTTCATCTTCAAAGACAGAGGAAAGCTTTGTTGGGTACATTATTCTGGGCCAACAGTTTTTTGCTTTTAAAATCTGGAATGTGTCGCTCCATCTCTTCTGGCCTGTAGAGCTTCCTGTGAGAGGTCAGCTGCGAGTCTGATTGCCATTCCTCCTTAGGTCAATTGATTTTTTTCCCACTTGTACATTTAAGGATCTTTTCCTTATATTCGATTGAAGAGAACTTGATGATCTTGTGCATGGTGAAGATTGCTTTTGGTTAATCCTGCTGGGAGTTCTGTGTCCTCCTGGATGTTCTTTCCCAATCCTTTCTCCAGATTAGGGAATTTGTCCTTTATTATTTCATTAAATACATTTTTGAAACCAGCTCCTTTTTCTGCACCTTCTGGAACTCTCATAACTCTTATATTTGACCTCTTAATAGTGTGTCTTAATTCTTGAATACTTTTTTTAACTTGACCCAGCTCTGCTTCCAGCTTTTTTATTTTTCCCCATTGTGACAAGAAATATCTTCCAATTCTGAGATTATTTCTTCTATTTCTATAATAGTTCATTCTATTACTGAGACTTTCCACTGGATTTTTTTTGAAAGATTTATTTTTATTATCATTATTTTTTTATTGGAAAGGCGGATATACAGAGAGGAGAGACAGAGGAAGATCTTCCGTCCAATGATTCACTCCCCAAGTGAGCGCAGTGGTCGATGCTATGCCGATCCGAAGCCAGGAGCCTCTTCTGGGTCTCCCACGCGGGTGCAGGGTCCCAAAGCTTTGGGCCGTCCTCGACTGCTTTCCCAGGCCACAGGCAGGGAGCTGGAAGGGAAGCGGGGCTGCCGGGATAGAACCGGCGCCCATATGGGATCCCGGGCGTGCAAGGCGAGGACCTTAACCACTGTGCCACCGTGCCGGGCCCTCCACTGGATTTTTAATTTGCTCTCTTGTGTCCTTCATTTTAAGTAATTCAACTTGATTTTGTTTCAGTGTTTTTATATTCTGTATGATATGTTGCTAAATTCTTGCATGTGCTTCTTGTTGATAAGAAACTTTATAATGAGTTTTCTGAATTCTGTATCCCCCATTTTCTCAATGTATTCCTCACTTATCTCTGAGATGGGCAAAGCATTTTGCTCCTTTGCAGGGGAATCTTCAGTAGTATTCATTTTGCTTCTGTCTCTTTATTTTGCTCATGGTCATTGTACTTCTGGTTATCAAATTCTTCTCCTTGGGGCAGGTTTCTAAGCTGTGTGTAATTCAGTTTTACTTGTGGTTGGTACACTGCTCTTTGTTTGCAATCACTTATGCCATTCCCTTCAGTGAGTTCTGGGTCCAGGTTCTTATGTTAGACTTCCACCATGGTCTCTGTGGCCTCCCCACTCCTGGCTCACCACTCTGCACTTCCTATGATCCCGTGCTGGGGTTGCACCATTGTCTGTGTAACCTTTCTGCTACTTCTGGTTGGAGCAGTTCCCAGGATTAGGAAGACACCAAGTGTCCTAAATAGCCAGGTTGTTGGCGGTGCCAATCTTGCTGGAACCTGATAGCTGTTAGATCTGAGGGCCACCGGACCTATTTTGAGTCATAAGATGCCATGGTAGTATTATTTTTCCTGTGTGGCCAGTGCAATGCACTGGGCTGGAAGTGAATTTGCTCCCAATTCAGCGCATGCATAGCTTGTTGTTGTCTCTGTAGTCTCACATCCATTGCCACTGTACAAAATGGTGATTTCTGCTACTGGTGGAATTCTGCTAGCCATTGGGGGCTACCTGGACCTATTTTGGATAGAACCTGTAGGATGTTATGTCGTTGCTATTTACTGAGCCAGAAATGAGTTCATTCCCAGCTTAGTGTATGTGCAATCCTGTCCCAAAGCCTCCCTACGCAAAGTGGCTCCCGATTTGGGTCTGGTGGGGGGTAGGAAATCTGAGTTGTGAAATCCACCCTGTTCCTGCACCGTCTGTTTGAGATCTGCTTCTCTCTCTCTCTCTCTCTCTCTGCTTCTGGTCAAATCAAACAGATCAGCAGGATGGGCAGTTCTTTAGGTTCACCTCCTGAGTTCCCGGTGAACTCCCCACCTGGCAGCTGGTGCACTTCAGATCACCACTCGGTGAGTGCCGCTGTGGTGTCTGGTCACTGCAACACCACCTCTGTCTCCATTGCTTTCCTGTGTCTGTCAGTCTCCAGGTGCCCCTCTGCCATTGTCCTGTCCTCTCCTATTTCCTGGAATGTGCCCTCCTCGGTTCACCTGGCTAATGATGCTCTGTCTGTTTAAATGTGTCCTTGCCCTACTCCATCATCTTGTTTCTCCCCCATTTCTTTGTATTGTTTTGGAGTTTCACACCTTCTCATACACGTTGACTATCTGGATATTTGAAAGTGGTGACAGGTGCATAGGTACCTGAGCTGGTAGGCAGGTTTTCTAGATGACCTCTGAGGACGTGGCCCAGGAAGGTTGCTGTGCATGCCTGGAGTCCTGTCTCCTTCACGGCAGGATTCCAGATCTGAGTCCTTAGGAGGCTTCCTGAAATTCACTCCAGGATCACCACTGTGTTGATGGCAGAACTCCCTTTTCACCACCTTTCCCACCAAGAGCCATGCTGTAAGGGGGCCCAAGTTGGAAACCCAAATTCTGTCTCTTTAACCAAAGTATTTGTGTTGTCTGTGCATTCATTCATTCCTGTCAGCAGAAAGTTCTTGCTTTTATTTTTTAAAATCTTAGCAGACTGCATTCACCAAGCTCTTCAAAGTTGTCTTCAAGAAGTGGAGTAAAACGGAATGTTGTCGGCATCTTACTTGGATTCTGATTAACTGAACAAGTGAGATGATTGAGAAATGGTTGAGGGGTATGATCCCTGGTATTTATACTAAATTCTTGTCTCTGTGAGAAGAATTCAAGAAAGAGAATGGCAGGACACCTCAGATGTGAGGGTTATAGGGAGACAACACTTGAGATGTGAGCAAGAGAGGGAGAGAGCGCACCTCGGGGGTGAGGCAGAGCACACACCTCGGGGGTGAGGCAGAGAGCACACCTCGGGGGTGAGGCAGAGAGCACACCTGGGGGTGAGGCAGAGCGCACACCTCGGGGGTGAGGCAGAGAGCACACCTCGGGGGTGAGGCAGAGAGCACACCTCGGGGGTGAGGCAGAGAGCACACCTCGGGGGTGAGGCAGAGCACACCTCAGGGGTGAGGCAGAGAGCACACCTCGGGGGTGAGGCAGAGAGCACACCTCGGGGGTGAGGCAGAGCACACCTCGGGGGTGAGGCAGAGCACACCTCGGGGGTGAGGCAGAGCGCACACCTCGGGGGTGAGGCAGAGAGCACACCTCGGGGGTGAGGCAGAGCGCACACCTCGGGGGTGAGGCAGAGAGCACACCTCGGGGGTGAGGCAGAGCGCACACCTCGGGGGTGAGGCAGAGAGCACACCTCGGGGGTGAGGCAGAGCGCACACCTCGGGGGTGAGGCAGAGAGCACACCTCGGGGGTGAGGCAGAGCACACCTGGGGGTGAGGCAGAGCACACCTGGGGGTGAGAGAGAGCACACCTCGGGGGTGAGGCAGAGAGCACACCTCGGGGGTGAGGCAGAGCGCACACCTCGGGGGTGAGGCAGAGAGCACACCTCGGGGGTGAGGCAGAGCGCACACCTCGGGGGTGAGGCAGAGAGCACACCTCGGGGGTGAGGCAGAGCGCACACCTCGGGGGTGAGGCAGAGAGCACACCTCGGGGGTGAGGCAGAGCACACCTGGGGGTGAGGCAGAGCACACCTGGGGGTGAGAGAGAGCACACCTCGGGGGTGAGGCAGAGAGCACACCTCGGGGGTGAGGCAGAGCGCACACCTCGGGGGTGAGGCAGAGCACACCTGGGGGTGAGGCAGAGCGCACACCTCGGGGGTGAGGCAGAGCGCACACCTCGGGGGTGAGGCAGAGCACACACCTCGGGGGTGAGGCAGAGCACACCTCGGGGGTGAGGCAGAGAGCACACCTCGGGGGTGAGGCAGAGCACACCTGGGGGTGAGAGAGAGCACACCTCGGGGGTGAGGCAGAGAGCACACCTCGGGGGTGAGGCAGAGAGCACACCTCGGGGGTGAGGCAGAGAGCACACCTCGGGGGTGAGGCAGAGCGCACACCTCGGGGGTGAGGCAGAGCGCACACCTCGGGGGTGAGGCAGAGCACACCTGGGGGTGAGAGAGAGCACACCTCGGGGGTGAGGCAGAGAGCACACCTCGGGGGTGAGGCAGAGAGCACACCTCGGGGGTGAGGCAGAGCGCACACCTCGGGGGTGAGGCAGAGAGCACACCTCGGGGGTGAGGCAGAGCACACCTCGGGGGTGAGGCAGAGCGCACACCTCGGGGGTGAGGCAGAGCACACCTCGGGGGTGAGGCAGAGCGCACACCTCGGGGGTGAGGCAGAGCGCACACCTCGGGGGTGAGGCAGAGCACACCTGGGGGTGAGAGAGAGCACACCTGGGGGTGAGAGAGAGCACACCTGGGGGTGAGAGAGAGCACACCTCGGGGGTGAGGCAGAGAGCACACCTCGGGGGTGAGGCAGAGCGCACACCTCGGGGGTGAGAGAGAGCACACCTCGGGGGTGAGGCAGAGCGCACACCTGGGGGTGAGGAGGAGCAGCAGAGGTCTCTTTGCTGCTGGGCTCCCTTAGTCCTCAGGTGTCTGGGGGTGGGAATACAGTGTGGGTGTCTCACCTGTGACGGGAATGCAGGTGCTCGTGCCTCCTATGGGGCACATGGGCAGGAAGCTGCAGCTGGGACTCAGACCTGCACGCTTTGATTTGAGGGGATGTCCTAGACACCATACCAAATGGCAGGCCCCCCCCCCCCAATCCCTGGATTGTTTGTCTTTGCCTCTTAGTTTTAAACAGCTGGGACTTTGAACCAGTGCCTGTATAGGATGGCAGCGCCAGATGTGGAGGCTTAGCCACAGTGTCACATTCCCTCTTCCCGCTGGTTTTTATTGCTGTGTTTTTGAATTTTTATCTCAATGTGAAATTGTTTCTTTCAGACTTAAAAGTGATGGCTTGGGTTCCTGAAATTCTCTTCCTTCGTGGGTCCCTTTTCTCCAAGTAAACTCTAGTTGTTAGATTTCCTAAGAGACAGACTGTGCCCACTGGGTGACACTCAGGAGGAGGAGTGAACCAAGGCCACTGCCTGGGTCATCTTGCGTGCAGCGGTACCTAGCCTTGGGGTTACAGCCGCTGGGGTCAGCTGTCTTTCTTTGACCAGCCAAGCCAGGCACACGGAGTTTCCTCCAAGGTAATCGGGTAGATGCATTCCAGAGGAAATACTGAGATTTGAACCAAATGTGAAGACACGCCAATGAGGTGTTTTGAAGCCCCAGACGACCTCAGGGTAGTGGAGTGTCGCTCTTGGCCCTATCACTGAAGGGTCCCCCCAGACCCCTTGGCAGGTCACATTGCAGCACTCCAGTCGCCTCTCCAGGCGCTAGTGTCAACGTCTGGTCCCCAGGAGACCAGAGAGAGAGAGAAGGCTCATACTTCCCTCGTTCTCCCTGGTTGCTGGTGTGTCCTCAGAATGGGAGGGAGCGTTTAGACCCTTCGGGATATGAAATAGATGTGTAACTGCCTTATTCACTTTGTGTTTAATTTGTCTTTAACTGGAGCAGATTGATCCATTATTTCTGCAAATGTCTGAGTCACTGAGAGGCTGAGATAGAAAGTAGACGTGTCTCTTTACACATCAGTCCATGCTGTTACTTACTCTTTGTTTTTTTTTTTTCTTCAAGCAGACAAGAATCATCAGAAAGGATGTCGAAGGTGAGAACACACTTGGTGTGCCTGCTGTATGTGGAGAAGGCGTCATGGTTACAGGCGGTTTGCGCTGACATTACCTGAGTAGTCTTTAATAACTGATCATGTCTGCCTCGTTAAGACAGAATTCTAGTTAAGTTACCACAACAATGAGCATTCATTCTCAAGTTTCCTTTTTTTCTTCTTTTTTAAGATTTGTTTATTTTAGTTCGAAAGGCACATTTACGGAGAGGAGAGACAGAAAGATCTTCTATCCGCTGGTTCACTCCCCAGATGGCTGCACAGCTGCAGCTGAGCAGATGACCAAGGAGCCTCTTCTGGGTCTCCAACGCAGGGGCAGTCCCAAGGCCTTGGGTCATCCTGTGCTATTTTCCCAGGCCACGGCCAGGGAGCTGGATGGGAAGTGACGCATCCAAGATACAAACTGGTGCCCACATGGGATCCCCGTGCTTGGAGCTGGAGGATTAGTTCATTGAGTCATTGCACCAGTTCCCTATTTTTTTTTTTTTACTAAGTATATCAGTAGTAATGTAGCCTGCTTAGGTCACTATGAGCCAACTAGTCATCTGCTGTTCATACAAGGTATAATCCCCTCAAAATACACTTTTGTATCTTGCCTGTTTTCAATTCATTAATCAATTAATGTATTTTCAGCATGTCACTGCATAGATTCTGCTGTTCCTTTCCTAGTGCCTTCTGTCCTCTCGTGTCTGCGTTCTCTTGTCAGGGAGCACCAAGACTCTGTCCCTGGGCTGGGGCTGGGCTGGAGGCTCCCTTCCTCAGCCTCTGAAGGTCTCCAACCTGCCTGCCTCACTTGTGGGGCTCGGCTCTACTAAGAGGAGAGAGGGGAGGAAGAGTCCTTGGTCCCGGGTGTTTTCACAGCAGCATTACACCTGTCCAAGCTGGCTGGAAGCTGTTCTTGGGCAAGTTATTGAATGAACCCACTGCCAGCTGTGAGCTGTGACACTGTTTTGTAAGTCAAGATTTGAGCTTACACAAAGAGGAATTCAGCATGTATCGTGGACATATTGCTGGGCTGTTAAAATCATGTTAATTTTAGCTCTGCATACACCTAAGAAGTTAGATTTTTTTTTCTTTTACTGCTGCTAATTAATATCCTGTTTTCTAATACAAGTGTTAATTTATTTATATATATTTATTTTTGTGAGAACGGATTACATATTTTTGTCACATGTGTTACTGATATATCCCAAAAGCACACAATAAAGTGTTTATTAACTATTTCTTCAAATTTTATTTTAGCAACAGCCAACTCAGTTTATAAATCCGGAAACTCCCGGCTATGTTGGATTTGCAAATCTTCCCAATCAAGTTCACCGAAAATCAGTGAAGAAAGGTTTTGAGTTCACATTGATGGTGGTTGGTAAGAAATCCCTTTTCAGCTTGTCCCTCACCCCCGGTCTGCCCTTCCCTTGGATCAGCAGCAGCTAGCCAACTGCTCTGCTGAGCACAGTTACATGGAGCTCTAAGCAGCGTAATGGGCAGAGCCGCACAGCACGTTGTGGCCTGCTGCTGGCTAGCGAGGTGACCTGTCTCAGAGACATTGTCCAGCCCAGGGAAGCTTCCTGATGGGCCTGCCACCGCTGCTGAGCTGGTGTCAGCTCCCAGATGCCTCACCCAGAAAGTCACATTAGGGAAGTTATGCAGATTGTTATTTATATTTAGTAAAGATATCTAATCCTCGTTTTAGAAACTATTAACTTCTTGGCCCAGTGCAGTGGCTCAGTAGGTGAATCCACTACTAAGAGCCAGTTCATGTCCCGACTATTCCACTTTGCATCCATTTCCCTGCTTATGGCCTGGAAAAACAGCAGAGAATGGCCTAAAGCTTGGGACCTTGCACCCACATGGGGACCCATAGGAATCTCCTGGTATCAATTCGTTCAGCTAAGCTCTGGCCATTGTAGCCATTTGGAGAATGAACCAAAGGCTGGAAGATCTTTCTCTGTTTCTCTTCTCTGTAAAAATTTGGCTTTTCAGCAAAAATAAAGTTATTAACTCCTAAAATTACAATAGTGGATGTACCTCAAATAAGTGACAGTTTTAGGGCCAGTATTGTGACATAGCAGATAAAGCCACTGTCTGCAATGCTGGTATCCAAGATTTTCTTGCTTTTTAATTTACTTCCAAGCTGATTAGCTAAACACCTCTGAAATGGAGCAATGAGTAGCAGCTGTTGTCACTGTTACAGGTTGCATGTGACCTGACAGAACATGACTGATGTAAAGACAACAGAGTAACTTCCTGAGGCTTGTCTGTACTACCGTAGCTTAGGAACAAATACTCAGTGCGTCATGCTGAAGATCCTTGCCCTAGATGGGATTGCCTGGAGAGACCTGCCGCACAGCTGCTAAAGCCACAGCCAGCAACGCCTGCATCCCACATGAATGCTGTCTGTCCTAGCAGCTCTGCTGCCGATGGCCTGGGAAGCAGGTGTTTAGCCCCTGCTGTCTTATGGGAGGCCCAGCTCCCAGCCTTGCACTTCCTGGCTTGGAGCATATGGCATTGGCCTGGCCCACCTCTGACTGCTGCAGATATTTAGGAATTGATTAAACCGTTTGGGGGGAGCTTTCTCTCACTCTATCATTCCCTCTATAACAGTTGGTCTTTTGATTAAATTTTTTTAAAAACTGAACTCAGCAATAGCATAGTGCATAGTGACTAAATCTTTCCATTGCTACCACCAGGATTCTATGTGGGCACCAGTTTGTACCCTGGCTGTACCACTTCCTGTCCAGCTCCCTGGCTGTGACCTGAGAAAGCAGGTGTGAAAAGCCCAAGGCCTTACAATCCTGCACCTGTGTGAGAGAACTGGAAGAAGCTCCTGGCTCCTGGTTTCAGATTAGTTCCTTTGGCCATTGCAACCACTTGGGGGGATGAATCAGCAGATGGAAGATCTTTCTCTCTGTACCTCCATATATATATATGTGGCATATGCCAATAAAAATAAGTGAACTTTTAAAAAATATATAAAAATTGGGCCTGGTGCAGTGGCCTAGCAGCTTAAATCCTTGCACTGAACCTGCAGGGATCCCATATGGGCACCGGTTGTAATCCCGGCAGCCCCACTTCCATCCAGCTCCCTGCTTGTGGCCTGGGAAAGCAGTCAAGGACAGCCCGAAGCCTTGGGACCCTGTACCCATGAGGGAGACCTGGAAGAAGCTCCTGGCTCCTGGCTTCGGATCAGCACAGCACCAGCCATTGCAGTCACTTGGGGAGTGAATCAGACAGAAGATCTTCCTCTCTGTCTCTCCTCCTCTCTGTATATCTGACTTTGCAATAAAAATAAATAAATCATTAAAAAATATATATATATAAATTTTTAAAAATTGTGGTCACTCCAATTATGAAAATGTGTGGACATGGAACATTTTTTGAAGAGTGCTTATCCATCTGCTGGCCAACTCCTCAGATGACCATAATGGCCAGGGCAGAACCAATCGGGAGCTTCCTCTAGGTCTCCCACATGGGTACAGGGTTCTTGGGCTTTGGGCCGTCCTCTGCCGCTTTCCCAGGCTACAAACAAACATGGAGCAGAATGGGAAGTGAAACATTCGGGACATGAACTAGCACCCTTATGGGGTGCAGACACTGCAGGTGGAGAATTAGTCTGCTATGCCACTGTGCCAACCCCAACTTCATTCCTTTTTTTACATACATTGTGTTCACACATACATATTTCCAGATTATGTCACGTCATGTAACAGGGATATGGCCTGGCATGGCGTTTTCCCACAATGTGTGAAGAGTGAGTGGGGCTTTCAGGTGCAGCCCATGAGTCCACAAGATGGCAGGTTTGGCCCGCTCTCTCCTGCAGCTGAGAGAGCATGAGTAATGTTGGCCGATGTGTGCAGGATTTCGTGAATGGGAGGACCTACATGGCATTCTGTTTATTGGAAAAGGAAGACAAGACTGGAGTGTACCCTGCAGATGGTGGTCACTGCGCAGACCTGATTTCCTAGTTCCTGGGACCTTGGATGAGTTAGTGGTCTCTGCCATCCATTTCCACATCTGAAGTGGAGACCGTGGCACCTCATGAACTGCATCGCAGGCCAAGCCCAGGCCCATCCCTGCTAACCCATCACAGGCCTCAGTGGGCATGCAGCAGTCTCCAGCTTGTGGGTGAGGTTGTGATACATGCTGCTTTTCGCTTGAAGGTGAATCGGGACTTGGCAAATCAACTCTCATCAACAGCCTGTTCCTGACTGACCTGTACCCTGAGAGAATCATCCCAGGAGCTGCAGGTAAAGAACTGGCTCTGAATCTGCAAGACGGTTGCTGATTGTGGAGCTCTGTGTTCTGTTTTGAACAAGGAGACTGTCTTATGCGGTGGGAGGTGGGCTGCCCCCAGGTCCAGATCTCAGGATCCCAGTTAGAGGTGTGGCTCCATGGACCTGCCTCCTTTGCATGTATTCTCTTTGTACAGCGGAGGCACAGTTTTTCTGCCTGTCTTAACATACGCAGTAAGAGGGCCAAGTGGTGATGCCTTACGCATAAACCATGCTCTGTATGCAGAAGACTATTGCAGGAACCGGGGCACCCAGGAACATGGTAGAGCAGGTAAGGACCACAGTGCCAGAGCCTAGCACAGGCCTGCTGCAGTAGGGCCAGCTGGCTCTGTCACAGCAGTTCAGCCTGTAGATGTGAGCTTATACGTTGTTCTCATCTTCCCAGGAGCAGAAACTGCAGCTATCTTTAGGTTCTGAAGCAACATATGAATCCTAGCTTCAACCCTTCCTGTGCTGACTGTGGGATCATTCTAACAATCCTTGTGCTTTGTTCTGGTTTTTTCTAGAGAAAATTGAAAGAACGGTTCAGATTGAGGCTTCCACTGTTGAGATTGAAGAGCGGGGTGTCAAGCTGCGCCTTACTGTGGTGGACACACCTGGCTACGGTGATGCCATCAACTGCAGGGATTGGTATGTGGCCCCCCAAGGCAGCTATTTCTGTGGATTCTTCTTTTTTAATATTTACTTACTTTTACTGGAAAGGCAGATTTATACAGAAAAGGAGATACTGTAAAGATCTTTCATCCACTGGTTCACTCCCCAAACAGCCAGAATTGAGCTGATCCAAATCCAGGAGCCAGGAGCTTTTTTCAGGTCTCCCATGTGGGTGAGGGTCCCAAGACTACGGGCCATCTTCCACTTCTTTCCCAGGGAACTGAATGGGAAGTGGGATGCTGGTGCATGCCAGGTGGGGATTCAGCCCTGGGCCATCATACCAGGCCCTGTCTGGTCCATTCCAAGGGATTTGAGTTGACCACTGTCCTGCTGAGTGTTGTGGTTGAGTCTGTGTGTTTAGAGCACATTGTGTGTGAGTGTAGTGTACAAGGCCCACCACCCCTAGGCTGCCTACACTGGCACCCTTAATCAGGCCAGGGAATGAGACTTGAGTCGGTGGGTGGGTGGGTGACAGAGCACATGGTACTTGCGTAGAGTAACTTCCCGCCAATAAGAGCAGGAGCTCAGGCACACAGGCTCTTGCAGACCCAGTCCCACCTGTGGTGAGCATCAGAAAACTGCACAAAGAGAGTAGGACGGGAGGAAGCCTTCCTGTACCGTCCAGTCGTGTCCTCACCCCTGCGAGCACCATGCAGTTCTGTCGATCTCACCCTTCCCTGCACCATGTGGCTGTGGCCCACCTCACACCCGCCTGAACCATGAAGTTGTGTGTCTCCCTCACCTACCCTGTACCATGCAACTGTGTCTACCTCACCCCTCCCTGCACCATGTGACTGTATCAATTTCCCCTCTCCTTGTACTGTCTGACCATGTCGCACTTCACCCCCACCTGCACCATGTGGCTGTGTGTACCTCACTCCTCCTTCCTCTCTGCCTTCTCCTCTGCTCCCCCTCACAGCCATATTCCTTGGAAGACTAGATAACCCTCTATCCTCAGTGCTGTGTCTCCTCACTGCTGTCTCTGTCTCTCCTCACTGCTGTCTCTGCCTCTCCTCAGTGCTGTCTCTGCCTCTCCTCACTGCTGTCTCTGTCTCTCCTCAGTGCTGTCTCTGTCTCTCCTCACTGCTGCCTCAGCCTCTCCTCAGTGCTGTCTCTGTCTCTTCTCACTGCTGTCTCTGCCTCTCCTCACTGCTGTCTCTGCCTCTCCTCACTGCTGTCTCTGCCTCTCCTCACTGCTGTCTCTGTCTCTCCTCACTGCTGTCTCTGTCTCTCCTCACTGCTGTCTCTGTCTCTCCTCAGTGCTGTCTCTGTCTCTCCTCAGTGCTGTCTCTCTCTCCTCAGTGCTGTCTCTGTCTCTCCTCAGTGCTGTCTCTGTCTCTCCTCACTGCTGTCTCTGTCTCTCCTCACTGCTGCCTCTGTCTCTCCTCAGTGCTGTCTCTGTCTCTCCTCACTGCTGTCTCTGTCTCTCCTCAGTGCTGTCTCTGTCTCTCCTCACTGCTGTCTCTGCCTCTCCTCACTGCTGTCTCTGTCTCTCCTCACTGCTGTCTCTGCCTCTCCTCACTGCTGTCTCTGTCTCTCCTCAGTGCTGTCTCTGCCTCTCCTCAGTGCTGTCTCTGCCTCTCCTCAGTGCTGTCTCTGCCTCTCCTCACTGCTGTCTCTGTCTCTCCTCACTGCTGTCTCTGCCTCTCCTCACTGCTGTCTCTGTCTCTCCTCACTGCTGTCTCTGTCTCTCCTCACTGCTGTCTCTGTCTCTCCTCAGTGCTGTCTCTGTCTCTCCTCACTGCTGTCTCTGCCTCTCCTCACTGCTGTCTCTGTCTCTCCTCACTGCTGTCTCTGTCTCTCCTCACTGCTGTCTCTGTCTCTCCTCAGTGCTGTCTCTGTCTCTCCTCACTGCTGTCTCTGTCTCTCCTCACTGCTGTCTCTGTCTCTCCTCAGTGCTGTCTCTGCCTCTCCTCACTGCTGTCTCTGTCTCTCCTCACTGCTGTCTCTGTCTCTCCTCAGTGCTGTCTCTGTCTCTCCTCAGTGCTGTCTCTGTCTCTCCTCAGTGCTGACTCTGCCTCTCCTCACTGCTGTCTCTGTCTCTCCTCAGTGCTGTCTCTGTCTCTCCTCAGTGCTGACTCTGCCTCTCCTCAGTGCTGTCTGTGTACACCTTTTGACTTTTAGTACTTAAGAAAATTTAGACTTGAGAATCTGAGTCACTCTGCTTTTTTTGGAAGGTGGTTCTTTCTTGTGATATAAGGTGTTTTATTAGTTCGATTTATTATCTAGCTACATTTATAGGTATGAATACAAAGGGTATTTGTAAGCTTTGTTCATTTTTTCAGTTATTAAAATCTATAAGATAAGAATTTAGCAATGCTGAGATCTCTGTCTACAATCTGAACATCAATGCTGGTGTATTCTTGAGCATTCCTGAGTATCAGGAAGTGCTCTTGGTTCAGAAATGATAGTTAGCACCCATGCTGCATCACTACCCTTATAGCCATGGGGGAGACCCAGGTGAAGGTCCTGGTTCGCGGTCATTGGGAAAGTGAGCCCACACATAAAAGGTCTTTATATACTTCTCTTTCACACTGCTTAACTACCTTTCAGACAGATAAATAAGTTTTTTAAAGTGAGTCACTAGCTCATGCCTATTTGTTGGGAGTGCTGGGGAAATGGTTTTTCTTTGAAGTTGGTGAGGCTTGTGTGTCCACTGCTGAGCCAGTGTCACTGTGTGTCAGCTTCAAGACCATCATCTCCTACATTGACGAGCAGTTTGAAAGGTACCTGCATGACGAGAGCGGCCTGAACCGGCGGCACATCATTGACAACCGGGTGCATTGCTGCTTCTACTTCATCTCACCATTCGGCCACGGGTGAGCAGTTACTTTCTCTGGGTTTCCACATGTTTGCTTCAGACTGTGTCTTATGAATTTTGAAAAATGGAAAGTGTATGTGGTCTGTTTATCTAAAACATGACACTTCTAAAATTAATGTTAGATTGAAGCCCTTGGATGTTGCGTTTATGAAGGCCATACACAATAAGGTGAATATTGTGCCTGTCATTGCTAAAGCTGACACCCTCACTCTGAAGGAACGGGAGCGACTGAAGAAAAGGGTGAGTGACAGGCTGGCTCTGCCCTCAGGTAGGATGTCTTGTTGGGCTTGTCCATGATGGCTGGTTCTCTTGGAGGTTCTCCCTATTGGCCTTGGACCCAGAGCTTGCTTTGCTTTCTGCCTTCCTGCCTTCCCGATCCTTGAACCCTGGCATCTGACACAATTAAAGTCAATATCTTTAATTGTGTTTTGATGGCAGTCTTGGACTCTGCCTTCTTTTTAAAAATTTGTTTTTATTGGAAAGGTAGATTTTTAGAGAGAAGGAGAGACAGATCTTCCATCTGCTGATTCACTCCCCATGTGGCCACAATTGCCAGAGCCTGGCCGACCTGAATCCAGGGACCAGGAACTTCTTCCAGGTCTCATGTGTATCCAAGGTGCCAAGGCTTTGGGCCATCCTCAGCTCCTTTCCCAGGTCACAGGCAGGGAGCTGCATGGGAAATGGGTCAGCCGGGACATGAACCAGTGCCCATGTGGGAACCCACTGCATGCAAGGCTGAAGCATGGCGCCATTACATGGCTCTGCCTTCTGTGAGCGCTGTGCACCTCCTGGTCCTCCCCTCTCGGTGCTCGTCCCCCAGCCTGTCCTCCGTTCCTCTGCGTCATTGATTCTTTGCTGTTCTGCGCTTCATAGTGTTAGAAGGTCTGCTTATCACCTACATCTCAGACCTCTCCTCCCACTGTCAGCCCTGCCTTTATTGATCCCGTATGTCAGCATTGGTGGGAGGCAGGAGAGCAAATCCCACTTCCTCTTCATTGTATCCCAGGATTGAGCAAAAATCTTTGAAAAGAATGAAAGCCAGGGTGTGGCATGCAGGCCGTAGGTAGCTGGCCTTATTCTGGAGCCCACATTGGTACCAGGTGTCTTGAGGGCCCTTCCTGGCCCAAGGCCCATCCAGCTATCCTGAGCAGATGTAGGCCCTTCCCCCACCCTCGCCTGTGTTGCTGTCCCTTGGCATCTCCATGGCCCCTCCTGCCAGCAGGTGTGGCTGAGGGGACTGAGCTGCTGACAGAAGGCTTGTGTCACGGACAACCCGTTTGTACTCCCCTAAAGGCCGCTCAGGACTACTGCCTGGGCATGGGTCAGCTTGGAAAGCTTCCGTGTTCTCCCCTGACCCTGGCCTACTGCTGGGAGTGCCCTCTGGCCCTCTGCTTGCACTCTCAGGATCTCCCCTGCTCTGGATCCCCTCTCCTGGATGGGTGAGTGTGGATAGTGAGAGGTGCAGGGACCTTCAGTGGTCCTGTTTGACCGCCGACACGGTTAGTTCTCTCATGGAGCAGCCCGTGATAGTCTAGCATAAACACTTCTTGGCACTTTTAAAAGTCATTGGAAAGCAATTTTAGTGATCAGTTTGACCCTATTGAAGTGGGGGTAACTTAATATATTTCCATATTTGGCTAAAAGCGTATATATTTTAGTAAAACTGATCCTTTTTCTATTATTCTTTCAGATTTTGGATGAAATTGAAGAACATAACATCAAAATCTATCACTTGCCTGATGCGGAATCAGATGAGGATGAGGACTTTAAAGAACAGACTAGACTTCTCAAGGTACTAGCCGCTGCAGCCCCAGTAGGTCCTCACTCTGGCTGGGCCAGGCCCTGGAAGGCGTGGGCTGGGGGAAGGGCTGAAGCTTCTGTGCAGAGAATGCTTTGCTTTCAGTGCGTTTGACTGTTGCTGTCGCCTAGGGATTGGAAATAATATTGCGTGCTCACTTTTTTAGGAAGTACCTGCGTGACATAACATGTACACTTTGCACACCTTGCAGGGTGCAGGGTGCTCCCCTCATGCCCTGTCAGCCACTGCCTCTGTTTCCTAGGCCAGTATCCCGTTCTCTGTGGTGGGATCTAACCAGCTGATTGAAGCGAAAGGCAAGAAGGTCAGAGGTCGCCTCTACCCGTGGGGTGTCGTGGAGGTGGAGAACCCTGAGCACAACGACTTTCTGAAGCTCAGAACAATGCTCATGTAAGACCTTTGATCCCCAGAGTCGTGCTTCTCCCTCGGGTACCCCCGGGGCCACTGCCTAGTGTGCCACACCTCTGGCAGCCACGGCCTGCTTGCCAGCATGGCTTCAAGGAGCCTGCTTGCCAAAAGGGCCTTGTTCCTCAGCCTCAGCCCTGTTATACTGAGCAGGGCTGACCTCCCCTGCAGCACCCAGAGTCCTCTCTTGTGCACAAATATGTGCCATAGCAGACTACCGGAATACCACATGAATCTTCTCATCACAGGTGTTCAGATGAGTAGTATGACTCTTGCTACATAGGCCACATGCATCTCCCCGAAGCCGGTAGTTTTTTAGTGAGTTGGGAGTGTAGTATGAAGGTCATGGAAGATGTTGAGTGTACTCAGCTGGGTGGCTGCCAGAGCAGGAACAGCAGAACTCTCACAGAAGACCGGGAACCCACCCTCTGCCAGCCTGAATAAACAGGAATATGCTGTGTTGTGCACTGATTCATGAGGGCCCAAGTATGTGAGAAAGCCACAGAAACCAACCATGGAAAGGAACGGTGCTTCCTGGGGTGAAGAGGGTTAAGTTCTGTTTCTGTGGGATTGGAGTGTACCAGCTGACTGTGATAAGAGTCGCTTCAAGATTCTAAGCTTAAGGAATCATGACTGAGTTGCATGTTTCATAAGTTCTTTTCAAAAAATGTATTTGCCTTGTAATTCCTCCCATCTCCTTGGCCTCTGCCTCTGCCATGGTGCTGGCCTGGGGCAGGGTCCCCTATAAAGGCCTTAGCACTGTGTGTGGGTCACTGTGTCAGGAAGCAAAGCTGGGTACTGAATGCCCAGTGAGCTTGTCTCCCCACACTCGGTGACTTGTTTTCCTCTGGAAATGCCTGTGCCTGCAGTCACTCTGTGTATGCTTTTCTCTTCCAGCACTCACATGCAGGACCTGCAGGAGGTGACCCAGGACCTGCACTATGAGAACTTCCGCTCCGAGAGGCTCAAGAGAGGCGGCAGGTCCTCCCTCGCATGGCCCCTTGCACTGCATTGTCCCACCCTGAATCCTGGGCTCCCACTCTGCCCAGCCATCTCTCTTGGCTAATAGGCTCCGTGGGATGTCGATTTAGGCTTCCCAGGGGATAGAAGCTATGCCACACATGATGCTATCACAGCCTTTTAGTAGATGGGTAGTTGGAAAGGTGAGGGTCTTGCTTCAGCAACACATAGACAGAGATTGGAAGGAAGGATGAGGACCCCACACCCAGGGCCTCTCAGCAGCACTCAGCCGTGCGTGAGCTCTCCGTGGGTACTCCTCAGGTCACACAGCCTGCCCCCTCCTGCCTTCCCTGGTGGGCTTTTCTGTGAGACTGGCATTTGGTTGCCTGATGTGTATCGAAAGTCATGTCTGTGCTTGGTCCTTAGTAAACATCAAAGCACTTGCTGCACTGCAGCCACCCTCCCATTTTGGTCCTTTGAGGATCCGTAGATACATGGAGCCCATGCTGAAGTCTGATCTGTTCTGCTGTTAACCTGGGGGTCTGACATGGAGAAAGGATTTAGAGGCTGCGCAGCCCCTTCCTGGAGCCTGGCCTGCTTCTCTGTCCCTGGGCTCAGGCCCTGTGCTTGCTCCCAGAAGTCACCTCCTGAGGAGCAGTAGAAAGCACAGGCCTTCATGCCAGCTAATCCAAGGAAAACCACTTTATTCCTATTTCATTGTGTCTTCCTATTCCTCCTATTTTTAATGAAAAAATTATAAACATACACAAATTAAGATAGGTGATGTTTCTCAGAATTCTACAGCAGAATATTCTTCGGGCTTCTTGGATAGAAATAATACCTATCCGAGAGTTGAACTTGGGGTTTCTGCTTCTTAGGAAAGCGGAGAAGGAAGACATGAGCAAAGACCAGATCCTGCTGGAGAAGGAGGCTGAGGTAAGCCAAGTCTGGGACCTTGTGAGCTGTGTAGTATATCTGTGCGCCCGTGTGTTGCACATGTATCCACGTGTGGTTTACATACCTGTTAGTACACTGTCCCCATGTGTTGTACCGGTATCCACAAGTGACTTAATACTACTTTATATGTGACATTACCTCATTTACTCTCCAGTGTCAATTTAATTGAAGTATTGGGAACAGAAAGCAATAATGTGACTGATTTTGGCAAGAGATCCCAAAACCATTTCCTTTTATGTAAGCAACACCAGTTAGAGAATACAATGTGCTGTTATTTGTAGCTATCAGCAGGAATTTAAGAATAAATATATAGGAAAGAAATTAAGGTTCTGAAAACAGTTCTCCTACAGGCAGACTTTTTTTAAAAAAAGATTTTATTTTTATTATTTTTTCATTGGGAAGGCGGATATACAGAGAGGAGAGACAGAGAGGAAGATCTTCTGTCCAATGATTCACTCCCCAAGTGAGCGCAACGGTCGATGCTATGCCGATCCGAAGCCAGGAGCCTCTTCCGGGTCTCCCACGCGGGTGCAGGTTCCCAAAGCTTTGGGCCGTCCTCCACTGCTTTCCCAGGCCACAGGCAGGGAGCTGGAAGGGAAGCAGAGCTGCTGGGATTAGAACCGGCGCCCATATGGGATCCCGGGCGTGCAAGGCGAAGACCTTAACCACTTGCACCACCGCGCCGGGCCCTACAGGCAGACTTTTTAAATTGGGAGACAAATATCTAATCAGCTGGCGTACATCATGAATTTGCAGTGGAACTGGGATAAGCTAAAGCCGGGAGCCAGTACTCGGTTCACGTGTCCATATGGGAGGGAGGGACTCGAGTTCTTGCTCCTCGTCTCCCTCCCGGGAAGCTGGGCCCCAAGCGTCTGACAGAGATGCACACATCTCGGCTCCAGAGACGTTTGTAAAAATGGCAGTACATGATTTTATAGGTAGGGTGAAACATCACAGCTCTAAATTAATCTTCAATGTGATGCAGAAATTCTAGAGAAGTTGTGTTGGTCAGGTTTACCTTAGGGGAAGGTTGGCAAAATAATTCTAGCACTTGCTTTAAAATAAATAAGCATAAGAAAATTCTGCTTCCTCCAAAAATGTTCCAATTAGAAATGGCTTTACTTTGCTTGCTTCGGCAGCACAGATAATAAACGTTGGAAAGAAATGGTTTTACTGGTTATGAAAACTGGGTTTGATAGCCTGACAGGCTGATCCAGTAGGTAAGTAGAACTAAGTTAAAGGGCAAGTATTGCAGAGTAGTGGGTTAATCTGCCTGCAACACAGGCATCCCATACAGGCACTGGCTCATGGCCCAGCTGCTCCAGTTCCAATCCAGCTCCCTGCAAATGGCCCAGGAAAGCAATAGATGGACCATGCCGCTGGGCATCTGGTGGGCAACTTAGAAGAGGCTCCAGGCTCCTACCTGCTCATTGTGGCCATTGGGGAGGGAACCAGCAGATGGAAGGTTTTCTCTCTTTCTCTCTCTAGGTGTAATTGCCTTTCAACTCAATCATCTAGAAATGGAGGGAGGGATGGATCAGGAACATGAGGATGTGGGACTGGCATGTGGTGGGGATTAAGCTACCAACTTTGATGCTGGCATCCCATGTGAGTGCTGACTCGGGGCCTGCCCGCTCCTACTTGCCATGCAGACTCCTTTTTATATACCTGGGAGAGCAATGAAGATGGCGCAAGGGTTTGGGCTGCTGCCACCCACATGTCAGGTTGAGTTCTTTTAAAATTTATTTAATTTTATTGGGAACTCAGATATATAGAGGGGAGGACAGACAGAGAAAGATCTTCCATCTGCTGGTTCACTCCCCAAGTGGCCACTACAGCTGGAGCTGAGCTGACCAGGAGTCAGGAGCTTTTTTCTCGAGTGTGTGCAGGGAGACCCATCCTTGAGTACTTGCCCAGGCCACAGGCAGGGAGCTGGATGGGAAGCCAGGCGGCCAAAGCATGAACTGGCACCCATATGGTATCCCGGGATGTACAAGGGGAGGGTTTAACCACTAGGCTACTATGCCAGGCCCAAATTTTTAAAGTACAAGTATTCATACAAATATGTTATAGGTAAGTGGTGAAAGTTAAATACAGACTGATTATACACTAAATCTTACACTAGGCCTGCCTTTTAGAAGGCAGAGGCTCACTGTTTTCACAGAAGTAATTCAGTGTGTATCAGACATTTAAGTGAGAAAAATGTGGGTAGCCTCTTTGTAAGACTTTCTTGGAAGCCCTTCTTTCTTCCCCCTGTTTCTTCATCCTCGATTTATTGATTTATTTCGAAGGCAGAATGATGAGAGCCAAAGACAGGAGGATCTTGTACCCACTGGGGCTCTCCCCTTGTGCCTGCAACGGCCAGAGCTCCACGCACTGCCCTCTCCAGTGCATTAATCGGGTGCAAACCAGCACAAGCCGCACCTTGACCCACTGCCCTACCTCACTGGCCCAGTGGGGACCATGGATCACTGCCCTGTCCTCAGTACTGCTTTGAGTTGCAGACCCTTATTTGCTTGGTTTTGTGTGGTGGTCTGATGGTTTACTGATTTTAAAGAGTTCCTTGTATATTCAGTGGAGTCATTCATTTTTGGTCAAGCATGGGTCAGTCTTTAGAGGTGATGTCCCTGTGTGCTGTTTGCAGCTTCGCCGCATGCAGGAGATGATCGCCAGGATGCAGGCACAAATGCAGCTGCAGATGCAAGGCGGGGACGGTGACAGCGCGGCACTTGGCCACCATGTGTGAGGTGAGGTGTAAGCATGGCTCGGGGCCCGACACACCTGCACCTTCCCCACGAACAGAGCGGGATCCTGACCCTGGCTTGGTGCCGCCTCCAAGAGCAGGGTCAGCTCCTGAGGTCTTGGCTCGCCTTCATGGCATCACTGGACTCCTTGTTCCTGGGAACAGCACTCCTTTAGGCCACTGCTTTCCAGTAAAGATGTGTAACTGAAATGGGGTGGTTAGAGTCGAAACTGTTAGCTCTTCAAAGAGAGCAAAACGTTATGAAAACACCTTGCACAAAGCCAAAGTGAAGGTTCCTCTAAGGGCGGTGGTGGGAATGCCCTTTGGATGAGGGTTGCCATGCCTCTGTCCTCGGAGCGCTCTGGCACTTGTGTGCACCTTTGTGGGCCTGTGGTCGCTCAGGGATTCAGAAGTGTCCAGTTGGTCACTGCTGGTCACCCCTTGAGGAAGAGAGGAGGAGTCAGGTAGTTGGGTGAAGGCAGGTAGGTCAGTCTTGGCTGCAAGGATGCCAGGGCCTGGAAGAGTGAAGTGGGCCCACGAGGGGCCTGGAGGCCTGAGAGTCCTGAGGGATTTACAACTTAGAGAGGACTGGATGTGGAGTGTCTGAGGCCACCATGACACGTGGACAGAGCATGAAAGACTGTCCTGGTCACAGACCCAAAGCCCTGCCACTGGTTGGCTGAAGCATTTGTTGTAAAATAGAAGTGCATCAATGAAGCTGGCTCAGCTGTAGTCAGCTGTGTCCCCTAAAACCTTAGAACAATCCTGATGACTCTACGCTGACTTCCCACTTTCAGACACTATTTGCCAGTGCTCCCGTGGCCAGAGATGGTGCCTCCTGGCTTCTCGCTCCCAACTTCTGGACCTGACCAGTTCCAAATCTTGGGCGGGGGTGACGGGGCAGTGGAAAGGAACAAGGACTCCTCAAAGGCAGGTCGGGCTGAGATTGGGCTGCGCATTTTCACTGCTCTTGGTGAAACTTGATAAAATGATCAGAGCTTGACATTTAGAGATGGTATTTCTGTGTATTTTCTAGTGTATAATGGCTTCATGAATGACACTGATTTAGTTAACCTCGTGGTCATGGAAACTGAACTTTTTGTTTAATTCGTTTGTTTTTATTATTCAGAAAAATAATAGTTAAATCTGTAAGCATTGCGTGAGTTGCAGTTGAATGTGCTTTGTTTTGTTTTTCCAGAAAATCCTTTATTGGAGTCATTCCGGCCAGGTCCTGCGGTGCGTGTCTTACATCACCAAAGGCGCCGTCCGCGTCTCAGTGCCTGTTTTCTGCACCTGAAAATTTAATTTTTTTAAACTTAACGTGTGGGTTCCTTTTGTATGCCGTTGACGTATCTTTAGCATTTGTAGTCATTACTGTTACACTTTAAATTTTGTGAGGTGAGCTCTTGTTTTCTTTCTGAATTAACCACTAACCAGACTTGACATCTAAGAATTGCCCAACATATAGGCTGAATCTTGATCTGCTGGCCTGACTCGCCCTGGCGTGAGGGGCACCCCTGGTTTGTGCCTGGACCTCCCCGTGTGCCCAGCACATTCCTGGCCAGCCGAGACAGGTAACCATGAGGGGAGATGTGCTGATGGGGACCAGGAGACTCGGGAAGGCGTGCCGGGCACAGCTTGGGAGCCAGAGCCAGCTCAGCTGCTGTAGTTGGGTGCTGTTAATCCACCCACACAATCACCTGTCCGCCAGAACAAACAGAGGAGAGCTGGTGAAGGAAACACGTTCCTATCTCAGCTGGTAGCTGTGTTTGAGGAGGTCCCTGGGTCATTTTTAAGCCACCAGCCGCTGTCACTGGTCACCTTGTGATGAGGAAGCAGAGTAGAATTCAGCTCACTACAGCTCTTAAGTGCCTAGATTCAGTAACTTTGTATTCTCTTCAGTTTTTTAAAAAGTTTCTAAGGAAATTTAGTGGTCACCTTGTTCAGAACCAGCTGTTTTCCAGCAGCTGCTGCATTTTGCTGTCTTCTGTGTCTGCCAGCATAGGAGGCCCAGCTCAGCAGCCAGGTGCTTCCTGTGGTTAGCCAGGAAGGTCCTATCCTAGCAGCTGAGCCCATGTGGGAACCTCCCACTGTGGGGTTGAGCAGCTCGAGGAAAGCAGGGATGTTAGTCCTTATTTCCCTCCACTCAGGGCCCCCAGCCTGGGCTGCGGCCTCCAGCTTCCTGCAGACCAGTGACCAGTGGTTGCCCTGTGCACTCTGCGTTAGACAGCTGAGCGCATTTGGAGATTGGGATCTGCAGTGTGGCTGGGCTGAGGCACACGTCTGCCGTGCACTGCACCCAGGCCCTTCGCTTTCTCAGCTGTAGGTCATTGGACCCAGAAAGTGTGCTCATTTACAGAGATGCGAAAATACCTCGGCCAGGGGCTTTAGATTTAGCCAAAGCAATACACTGTAATGGTTTGGGATCTCAGCAAGCAGCCTGGTCAGTGCCCATCGGTGAGTCCAAGCTGTGTGTCCTTTCTGTGTGACTCGAGGGTGTGCTTTAAAAGGGAAATTGCTGAAGGAGAATGCCTTTGCTGGCGGGCAGTGTTAAACCCTGTGTCGTCCAGAACTGCTCCCTGGGCCCAGTGCCACCAGTGCCACGGTCAGGGCTCACAGCTGGGCCGACTGGCTGTGACCAGCGTCCACATTCCCTTCTGCGCAAGTCAAATATATCAAATACATGCTTTAGCTACTAGATGATTGCTTTTTTTTTTTTCTTAGAGCATTGTACTTGGAAAACACACTTCACACAGCAATTTTGTATTCATGTAAACTAACTTTTATCAATAAAGCACTGTTTAGTATGAGGTGAGTAGTTCTCATTGGTCCTGCCCCATTCACAGCAGAGATGAAGTTGGAATTCTTGCATAGCAGGTGATGGAGAAAGGCCTGGAGGCACAGGCCGCCTGGTAACAGTGATTAGCGCATGGGAGAAGGAGGGCACAGTGGCTAGGAGGAAGTGGAGAGAGGTGGAGAAGGCCAGCCTTACCTTGAAGGAAAGTCTCCGGAGGTCCCATGTCCCTCCATCCCTGGGACATCGGAGCCACATGCCTGGACCCCTGGGTGTTCCCAGTTCCTGTGCTTGCCCTTTCCACCTGCTTGCTACCAGTGGCCACTCCTGTGGAGTCAGCCCTGTCGTGAGCAAGGCTCGGCACCCTCAGGCGGGATCCTAAAGGAACTCACCCACGGAGAAGGTAGTCCACCTGGGTTTGCCCACATGCGAGCGTTTGGTTTCCACTCCAGGATGATGGTTGGTCCTGCAGTCACAGCAGGACAGAGGGGAGATGGGGCACCCACCCCTGTAGCAGCACGTGTCTTTTGGGGACCCTCAGTGTCCTTGGCGGCCCCAGGAGGAGTACTTGCTGTCAGTGTGGTGGCCAGCAACCTGCAGCCAGGCACGGGGAGGTTGTGGGTACCTGGGTGCTGCCCAGGAGCTGAGGTCCCGCCCAGCATTAGGCCCTGCCCTGCCCTGTGTGGATTTGCATTCCGTGTCACCGGGCGGCGTCCTCCAGCTCCTCCTCCAGCCGCCCTCCAGTCAGAGTTCTCCGTCGTGTTTCCGGGCCGAGGAGGGCCTGCCCAAAGCCAATCCCCGGCGCGTCCGCGGGGCGGGGGCGGCCGGCGGGCGGGTGGACGCTGGCCGCGCTCGCGAGGGACGGGAGGTCGGCGACCGCTGCGGAGGAGGCCTCGCTCTGCGGGTGAGCGGGCCGGGGGCGGGTGGCTGTCCGGCGGCCCAGGCCCTGGCGGGCTGCGCGCTCAGGCCGCGGGCGGCAGAGTCCACGTCCTGGGCAGCCGGCGGAGCTTCTGGGCGGGTCCCCGAAAGAGTCGGGGCCCCGGCGCAGCCTGTCCGGCCTGCAAGGCCGAGGGAGGACGAGAGTTTGCTGAGCTGGAAAACATTAGGATCCACAGGTGGCGTCCCGGAAGGATTAGCCGCAGGTCTTCCTCTCAGCCTTTCCTGAAATTATACCTTTTTTCTGTTCTTAAAAGAGTTGGAAAGCCAGAGTTACAGAGAAAAGGAGGGCCGGGGCTTCCATCTGCCGGTTCACACAAAGGCCAGGCTGGAGCCAGGAGCTCCTCTAGGGCCCCCACGGGCATAGGGGTCCAAGGACTTGAGCCATCCTCCGCTGCCTTCCCAGACCACAAGCAGGGAGCTAGGTAGGAAGTGCCGCTGGGACTCCAACTGGCACTGCAAGCATCGACTTCAGTGCTCTGCTGGTCCTGGGCCCTTTATTAAAGGTGGGAGTGGAGCTGGTGTTACTGTTGCAGAAGGCGTGAAGGGGATGGGCTGTGCCATCTGTGGGCAGCGGGGTCACCTCAGGTATGTGGATCGTCGGTAGTTAGCCTGGAAATGCAGGAACCCAGGCCTCAGTTGGGTTTTCCTCCTAGACATGTTTGGCCTTTACTGTGGAAATTTTTGTGGGTGTGGGCAGAAGGGACGGAAATGCAGCGCTCTGGTTCGCTGTCCGCATCCCCACCGTGGCCAGGCCTAGTCTCCCTGTGGGTGGCAGGGACCCAGCTCCCCGAACCCCCACCTGCCGCTACCCCAGACCAAGTTCTGCAGCATTGTGAAGCTGCCAACACCCCCAGGCAGCCACCGGCTGGGGAGTGAGTGAAGGGTTGAGTCCTGCTGCTGAGTGAATAGCTCGTGCCGGCGACCCTGGAAGCTGTCGGCCAGAGCCACAGAGCATGGAAGAGCCCAGAGCAGACTTGGAGTTTCCCGGAGGTCCCCATAAGGAAGAAGGCACTGTGGCCTGGTTGCACACCTGCCAATGGAGAAGGCCTGTCCGCATGAAGAAGGGCAACCGTTTCCAGCACTGGCGCGGCCCTCATGCCTGCTGCCCACTCTAGGGGCTGGGCCTCGGCCAACCACTGCCCATGGGGCCGGTAGCCATGGGGATGCCCACACTGTGGTGCAGCCTGTTAAAGCCACCCCAGGTGGGTTGCCCTTGTGACACAGCTCCTTGCCAAAGCTCCTGGGAAAGCAGGGGAGGACAGCCCAAGTGCTGGAGAGACCCCAATAAGGCTCCTGGCTTCAGCCCCGCCATTCAGAATGTGAACCAGCAGATGAGAAGAAAGGCCTGTGTCTCTCCCGCATCCCTCCTGTAACTTTGACTTTTAGTTAAATATGTCCTTAAAACAACAAGGGCCCGGCACTATACCATAGTGGCTAGGGTCCTTGCTTTGAACGTGCCGGGATCCCATAGGGGAGCTGGTTCTAATCCTGGCAGCTCCACTTCCCATCCAGCTCCCTGCCTGTGGCCTGGGAAAGCAGTGGAGGACGGCTGGGGGTCTCGAGACCCTGCACCCGCGTAAGAGACCTGGAGGAAACTCCCGGTTCCTGGCTTCAGATTAGCTCAGCTCCAACTTGGGGAGTGAACCAGCACATGGAAGATCTTTCTGTATCTCCTCTATGAATATCTGCCTTTCCAATAAAATTAAACAAAACTTAAAAAAAAAAACCAAACCCAAAAGGTGCTATAATCCTATCAGGGCATCAACAAATCTTGCTTCACCCCCCCCAGGCTTGTCTAGCTGGTCTTCCAATTACGTCCCACAATAAACTTCCTGGTGATCACCTATGTATCTGCTTGGCCTCTTGTGGCCCTTGTAGCTCGGCCCCAGCCTGCTCTCATAGTTTGGTCTGGACACAGTCAACCTTCCATCCACCCCGGCCGCTGCCCTGACCTTATCTGTTCGATGGGGCTGCAGTGGTAAGATGGCCCTGCTCACTGACTCGTTTGTGTCCCTTGCTGGATGGGTCCCCACCTGCGCTCACTCCGGTTGCACTGAGGTTGCTGGGGGAGAGGAATCGCCCAGGCACGTCACTCTCAGGAGTGGGACTACGGGTCATGATGCCTGCACAGCCTCTCGCGGGTAAACAGGACGACAGTTATGCCTGGCGTTGGTCTGCTCTGCTGACTGGCATCTTGAGACTTGGTTACTGTTGTATTGACGATGTCTGCAGGCCTTCACACAGATTTTCTCTTTGTGTGTGTGTGCGTGTGTATTTTAACTTTTAAAAAAAAAGATTTATTTATTTATATTGGAAAGGCAGATATACAGAGAGGAGAAAAGACAGAGAAAGATCTTCCGTATGTTGATTCACTCCCAAAGTGACCACAGCAGCTGGAGCTGAGCCAATCCGAAGCCAGGAGCTAGGAGCTTCTTCCGGGTCTCCCACACGGTTGCAGGGTCCCAAAGCTTTGGGCCGTCCTCGACTGCTTTCCCAGGCCACAAGCAGGGAGCTGGATGGGAAGTGGAGCTGCCAGGATTAGAACTGGCACCCATATGGGATCCCGGGTGTTCAAGGCGAGGACTTTAGCCACTATGCTATAGCGCAGGGCCCTATTTTAACTTGCTTTTACTAGAAAGGCAGATTGACAGCACGATGGGGTGTGGTGCCCATTGAGCTGCTGTCTGGCCCGTGGCCCGCTGGCCCTGAGCTCAGACCTGAGTGCTGCACGTGGCACCTTGAGCTCTGTGTAGCTGCTGTTGGGCCTCTCCTTCCCTGATGTCCCAAGAAGCTGTCACTGCTTCTGTGGACCTCCAGCTGTTTCCAGCCTATAGCTGGGGAGAGGCACCAGGATTTTTTTAAGTTTATTTTTTATTTGTTTGAAAGGCAGAATTACAGAGAGGGAAGGGAGAAAGAACGTAATCTTCTATCTACTGGCTCATTCCTCAGTGGCCACAAGAGCCCGGCCAAAGTTCTGGGTCTCCTGTGTGGGCGCAGGGGCCGAGGATTAGAACCAGCTCCCCTATGGGATCCCGGCACGTTCAAAGCAAGGACCCTAGCCCGGCAGCCGACACAAACCAGCTTCCTCAAGGTGGTGTTGAGGCAGCAGTCTTGCTGTACTTTTTGGTGAGTTTTAAAGGAGGGTGTGTCTGAGGTTGGGAAGGGGCCCTGAAACCCAAGGCTGACCCTGTGGGGGCAGGTTCTGGTCCCCCCACTCAGTGCCAGGTAAGGCAGTGGGGAAGAGCGGAGAGAATGCCGTGTGTTTGGAAAGGAGGAAATCATCCTAAAACTTTAAACGTGCTGGGTTTTATATTAAATCTGTGACTGTTTAAGGCCTTGTCAACCCGATGGATATTGGATATAATTCCAAAGATTAAGATGAACAGTGAAGAACAGACCCCAGTATCTGAACAAAAAGGCAACTCCAGAGTGTTTAGATTACAGGTTTGTTTCACCTGGGCTGTTGAGGAAAGCAGCAGTGACCCAGCAGAGGGAGGCAGCAGGACTGCGGCCTCCGCACACAGTGTGGTCGGCTGAGTGTATCTGCCCGTCCCCCAAACGCACCCTGCACCCACACTCCAGCTGCAAATCTCCCAAGGGTCATGGAGCCTTTGTGTGCACGTCACAGACCTGGACAGAAGCCAGGAAAGTGCTGTGTGAAAGCCTAGGTCCAGCCTCAGCACTGACCAAGGCAGCTCTCTGCCCTCCCACTGAGCCCAGCTCACGGGCTTTATGAAAGTGAATCTGGACATATTCCTTTACCCATAACCTCGGGGGAGAAGGGAGCGTCCTGTGGCACAGCCAGCATCCCATGTGGGTTTGCACCTGGGAAGGCCTCCCATGGCAGCCCAGGTGCTTGGGCCCCCGCACCCCTGCTCCTAGATCCTGTCTTCTGCCTGGCCCAGTCCTGTGTGTTGTGGCCATTTGGGGAGTGAAGCAGCAGACAGAAGACCTCTCTTTGTGTCTAACTCTGCCTTCACATGTATGAACACTGATTTAAGGAACACTGACCGCTCTTGATGGTGTCTCAGGATCTTGCCGTGCGTTCCCTGACAGAGCACTTGCGTGTCCTGCTGGCTGCACGCTCAGGATGGGGCTCAGGACTCAAGGCCCACACAGCTCTCGGCAAGTGACGTGTCCTCCCAGAGAAGCAGGGCCCAGACCCTGTGCTGGGGCTTCCTCTCACTGGGTGTTGGAGTTGCCCCCGTTCTGAGGCATGGCTGCTGTTTTGGCATACACTTGGGGAAATTTGTTCCACTCTGGGATTGGGGCTTAGTTTTCCAAAGCACTAGTTTCCGTTTTGCTTTCTGACTGTATAAAGATGCCCATGAAGTTCCCAGATCAAGGGTAACACATGGACTGCACTTTCCACTCCTCTTCCCCTCACATTTCAGGAAGAGGGGCACCATTTTTTGTGGCTTTGGCTTGTCTGTGACTGGGGACGAATACCTTCATCCCCCTCTCCATGGAAGGTAGCACAGTATCCTCCTGGTTCTGTGTGTCCTTGTCTCCTCCTGCACACCAGGGGGGAGACCCTGCCCCCTCACGTGCAGGGGCAGATGTTAAACTGGCCAACTTCAACCATGAAAACTGGGGAATGGAGAGGTGAGTTCTCCGAGTGTTGGACACTGGACTTGGCTGTGGGTGCCCTGGCAGGAGCCCTCCACCTTTGCTGCAGACGCTGACCCAGGTTCTGCTGAGAGTCTTGTGTGGCCCGCTAATCCCATGAATCGGCCAGCGTTGGAGTGAGCTGCTTAAGAGTCCTGGCTTCCTGGGGCGGAGCAAAATCTGATGAACAGGGAGTGGGGAGACGGGGTTTGGAACCTGGAACCTGGTCCCACTTCCCTCGGGACTGCCCTGCAAAGTCGCGGCTGGCAGGCCCTGCGCCTGCCGCCTGCCGAGGCTGTGGCGAGCTCCGTGCACGCTCCCGCTGGGCGCCAGGCTGCTGGGCCACGCTGGCGCCTCGCTGACCGCCCAGCCAGCTGTTCCTCACCACCCTCTGGCCGCTGGGCAGGGTGGGAGGGCGCCTGTGCTCGGCGTGCTCCACGGTGGCGTACCCGTGCCCTCCGAGGAAGGCGGCAGCTGAGGACAAGCCCTCTCTGCTTCCTCTGCTCCTGGATTTTCCTGAGAGGCAGCGGGAGTGTTTCTCAGAGGGTGGATTTTGGACAACTCTTGCAGCCTGAGGTGAACTCGCTAGGGCCAGGCCCTGCTGGGTCACTTCTGAGCTGTGCCAGCCTTAGCAGGGCTTTCTGGTTGGTCTACTTCAACTTTTTCAATTCTTTATTTTGTGACACGGTTTAATAGGCATTGGGGTTCCCCTCCCCCTGCTTGTCCCTTCCCCATTGTTCTCCAGTCTTTCGGTAGGTGTCTTGCGTGCCCTCGGGAGTGTGTCATACAATGCAGGGGCTTCTCTGTCGCTGTGACACCATCCTTGTGTTGCACGCGTGGGAGCACGCTTCTCTTTCTGCCTATGCACATAGTTATGTCCACTGCACTTCCATTATACCTCCCCTTATTACAGTCCACCACAGGTTGAGAAGGAAAAAAGAAAGAAAAAAAAAATTTAACTAAAATGAAATAGTGAGTCTTCATTTCCATGGTGTTGCCGACCTCTAGCAGCAGTTTGAGGTCCACGGCAGACAGCACAAGTAGAATGCCCATGCCCGCACTGATGCCAGGCGATGCCCAGCATGACAGCAGACCTAGATGAGTGCTCCACAGAGATGGAGGGCAGGCTCTGTTAATTACCATGGCAGTAAGCCCAAAGGGGCCGAGCTGTCGTCAGCAGGACTACATAAAATACACCTGTGACCAGAAATGTTCAGAGGAAATAAGATGGTGAAGCATTTCATCTGTGTGGAGAAAGCTGGGTGCCTGGAGCCAGGTCCTGCCTGTTCCCAGGAGCAGGGGCATGGCCGGGGCCCGCAGCCAGTTCCCAGGACCCCTGGCGGCCTGCCGGTGCTTCCTCTGGAGTGGTCATTGAGAAGCTCACGTGATCCCCTCAGCACAGATGCTCACGTGCTATCAGGCCAGCGGCAGCTGAGGGAGCCCTTGGACACAGTGTTGAGTGTCGAGGCCAGGGCTGACCGGCATGCGCAGTCCCGATGCTGCCTGCCCGTGGGGGCCCTTTGCTTTCTCAGGCTCCTGAAAATCCAAAGCATGAGTCTGGGTCTCCCTGAGAGCTGAGTGGTTCTTGCTGAGTGATGTGGATTGTCCCGTGGGTGCCTGCAGCGGCCCCTAAAGTGAATATGTCTTTTCACATCAGCCTGTTGAACCAGTCTATAGGCTCCAGCCACAGACCCCATGAAAAGCAGGCTGTGGATTTCCCTGTCCGAAGGTGTGCAGACCTGCAGTTGCCCTGTGAGCCACACACATCGGGAGAGGGCTTTGCTCTTTGAGGCTGGCATGTGGCATTGAAGGTTAAGCCTCTACCAACACTGGCTTTCCACATGGGTGCCAGTTCAAGTCCTGGCTGCTCCACTTCTGATCCAGTTCCCTGTTAATGTACCCAGGAAGTCAGTGGAGTATGGTCCAAGTGCTTGTGCTGCACCCACATGAGAGCCCGTAGGTAACTCTGGGCTCCCAGCTCCAGCCTGTGCAGTTATCTGGAGAATGAGCTGACAGATGAAAGACACCTCTCTCTCTGTTTTCATAACTCTGCCTTGCCAGTAAAAATCAATTAAATCTTAAAAATGAAAAAAAAAAAAGAAGAGGGTTTCACTATTTTTGAGCCAAGAAGTGTGTCATCGTCTGTTCTGCTCTTGGGAGACTCGAAGCAGTGTTAAATACAAAGTACATTATCCAAAATATTTCACCCTTAAGCACACAGACATATTTGCAAGTTCTTGTAGCATGCAGGGCCGGTGGGTTGTACAGGGCACAAGTGCAGGCCGCCCTGGCTGACAGCTTGGCTGTTAGAACCCTCGTGGCAAGGAGGTCGACATCTCTACTTGTGCAGTTCCTGCTCAGTCAGCTTATGTTTGTGGACATGACATGAGAAAGACCATGCTTTGGTGTCCTAAAATCTCACGGAGGGATTGGCGTTGTGACGTGGTAAGTTAAGCCTCCGCCTACGACACTGTCCCACATGGGCGTGACAGTCCCACTTGTGACTTCTCTGCTTCCCATCCAGTTTCCTTCTGATGTACCTAGGTATCTGACAGATGCTGGCCAAGTACTTGGCCCCTGCTACCCTCATGGACAGTGAGGCTGAGGCTCCTGACTCCTTGCTGCCTGACCCAGCCATGGCTCTTGGCAAGTGCGCTAGGGGACTGAAGCAGCTGATGAGAGATCTCTCTGTGTGTATCCCGCCCTTTCTTTACATCTCTGTACCTTTCAAATAAATAGGTCTTTTTTCTTAAATCCAAATATCTGATGCTAAATATTGATAGTGTGAGAAAGGAATGAGGTCTTAGTCTTTTTGTCACCTTGGTAGAGTGTCTCACTTGGTAGAGTGCATTGCATGATGGGTCGTGGCCTAGTGTTTGTCACCTCGGTCTGTGAAGTGCATTGCATGATGGGTCGTGGCATCATTCTGATCTGAAATATCCTAAATGTTGAGCAAACATTAGCTGTGGCAGTTAGCTCATGTCACATATTTGCCTCCTGAAGTGTGGGCACCGAGACGAGAGGGAGTCAATGGCGTCTGTCCCCGCTCAGACAGGATGTAGGAAGTAGCAGGTACCTCAGCCCAGCCTGCCCTGGATACCTCCCTTTCCTAGGGGGTGTGGTGGTTTGTTTGCCGGGGTGAATTGGTGGAACCGTTTGTTGTGTTCATATGCTGAGCCTCAGATGTGTAGCAAGAACTGCTTGGCAGTAGTCCCTGAGCAGCTTTTGAACATAATTCAGAAGGTATAGTGTTCTTGATGGGTTCCTTTGTCTCAGTAACATGATTCTGAGAGGGAGATGTGTTTAATATGTTTATTTCTTTTATTAATTTGAGAGGCACAGAATAAGAACAACAGGAGACTTCTGTCCAAGGGCTCACTCCTCAAATGCCTGTGATAACTAGGGCTGGGCCTGGCCAAAGCCTGAGCTAAAACTCCATCTGTGTCTCTGACAGTGGTAGGGACCCATGTGGAGCCATCACTGCTACCTCAAGAGTGTACATGAGCAGGAAGCTAGGATCGGGGGCACTTACAGGGTGGGCATCCCAGCCCGAGCAGCAGACACCTGCCCCCAGGAGAATGGTGGGGTGGGCATCCCAGCCCGAGCAGCAGACACCTGCCCCCAGAAGAATGGAGGGGTGGGCATCACGGCTTGTGCAGCAGACACCTGCCCCCAGAAAAATGGAGGGGTGGGCATCACGGCTTGTGCAGCAGGCACCTGCCCCCAGGAGAATGGTGGGGTGGGCATCGCAGCCCGAGCAGCAGGCACCTGCCCCCAGGAGACTTTCTGAAGGTGATAAAAGGGAAATAGTTGCTGTGTTCTTTGCTGACTGAATGTCTAGAATTTTTGTCCCATCTTCACTGGTTCTGCCATTTTATTTGCTGTTAAACGTTTTTCTGAAGCTTGTTTGCCCATGGGTAACAGTGTAATTGAAAGCAGGACACACAGGTCCCAGCTGAGCTGGTATTCTCTCAGGAGCAGCCCCCCTCGCTCCCCATGGCAAGGGCTGGCACAGCCTGGCCGCTGTTTGACCTTCAGGCATGCTTGGAGTTGTCATCTGCTCAGTGGACTGTGGGAGTTAATAGCATGGTTACAGAGAGGGGCGTTAGTCCTGTGTCCTCATCCAGGCAGTCACACACTGCCCTGCTGAGTCACCTGCAGATCTGATGCATCCACCCCACCCTGGGGAGGCAGGTATTGGGAAAGCCACAGGAAATGCAGAGCCAGCACAGTCACGGCTGTAGCCTCCGCCCACCCCTGTCTCTCTGCCCTAGTCACTGTCTACACTGCACAGTCAGCACAGGTGGAAGCCACTGCTGTGCACACCGGGTCACGCAGTGCTGCCAGCATGGGGACCTCTGGGCTGGTGGAGGGAGATGGGAGTCTGCCCGGGCGCCTGCCTTTGCGTAGTGCAGTGATGGTGTCACTGCTGGTTCATACGTGTACCTGACCCAGGGGGCCGCTGGGGTGCTGGTCCCGAGACTGCTGCTTGCCATCACCGGCTGCTCCGCCTGAGCGTGTGTCAACAGGAGAGAGTGGTTTGTGACTCTTCCGATGCAGTGATGGACTCATGGCTGTTTCTGGTGTGACTTAGTATCCAGACAACGTGACAGTGTGTGTTCTTTTGCTTCACAGGGTTCCTCGCTCTCAGCTGGCAGAGAATGGGGGAGATAGCGGGGACCTACAGAGTCCTGCAGGCAGCCGGGACACGCCTAGGCACCCAGGCCCCGGGGGGTGTGAGCACTCTTGAGCCTGGGCAGAAGCTTCCTGCCTTGCGGGAGAAGCAGCTGCAGGTTGGAGTGAAGCTGCTGGACGGCACCGTAGAAGCGTTCAACGTTGAGGTGAGCTGCGTGGCGGGCGGGCAGGTCTCGGCTGACCTGGGGGAGTTCCTTGGGGACAGCCAGCCTGCGTGGCCCTGGTCTCCTTCCTGTGGGATGGAGCCACCCCCTATGTCTTGGCTCTGCTCTGGATCCCCTTGGGATTGGAGCAGGCGCTTTCAACAGAACTGTGGGCAGCAGAAACACTTGAAGAGCCCCCCAGTAGTAAATTCCCTGGGTGATGTTCAGGGTGGCTGTACAAGGAGCATGTCTTTTTTTTTTTTAATTTTTTAAGATTTATTTTTATTATTTTTTTATTGGAAAGGCGGATATACAGAGAGGAGAGACAGAGAGGAAGATCTTCCATCCGATGATTCACTCCCCAAGTGAGCGCAACGGTCGATGCTATGCCGATCCGAAGCCAGGAGCCAGGAGCTTCTTCCAGGTCTCCCATGCGGGTGCAGGGTGCCAAAGCTTTGGGCCGTCCTCGACTGCTTTCCCGGGCTACAGGCAGGGAGCTGGAAAGGAAGCGGGGCTGCCGGGATTAGAACCGGCGCCCATATGGGATCCCGGGCGTGCAACGCTAGAACCTTAACCACTTGCGCCACTGCGCCGGGCCCAAGGAGCATGTCTTAGTGGCCCTCTACCCCGAGTCCAGTTGCCTGTGCCTGGTGGGCAGCAGCAGTGATGGCTCCCGTGTTGGGTCTCTGCCTTCCACATTAGAGCCTCAGCCTGACCTAGCCCTGGCTGTTGTGGGTACGCAGGCAGTAAACTGACAGATAAAAGATCTCTCTCTGACTCTCAAATGAAATGAAAATAAATATTTTAAAAAGATTCATTTGAAAGGCAGAGGTATAGACAGATTAGGACACTCGCACGATCTCCCATCTACCGATTCTCTCTCTAACTGGATGTACTGGTGAGGGCTGAGCCAGGCCGAAGTCAGGCCCTTCCTCCGGGTCTCCGTCATGGGCGCCAGGGCCTAAGTGTGTGGGCCATCCTCCACTGCTTCCCCAGGTGCTTTGTCAGGGAGCTCAGTCAGAGGTGGGCAGCTGGGAAGCGAGCTGGCCCCTGCTAATGCAGATCCCGAATGTTGGCCAGTGGTGGCACGGGGGTGAGGTGGCTGCTGTCCCCTGGGAGAGCTGGGTGTGTTCCCAGCACCCTGGGAGCTATTGCAGGTATTTGGAGAGAACATCAGTGATGTGAGATCTGTCTGCCTCTGAGTAAGTAAGTAGCATTTAAATAGCATTGCACATTCTTGGAGGTGTTTTGCTTGGGGAGTTGTGTTTAGAAGTTGAGGGAAAGGGCCCGGCATGGTGGCCTAGTGGCCAAAGTACTAATCTTGAACATGCCCGGGATCCCATATGGGTGCCAGTTCTAATCCCAGCAGCTCCACTTCCCATCCAGCTCCCTGCCTGTGGCCTGGGAAAGCAGTGGAGGACGGCCCAGAGCCTTGGGTCCCTGCACCCGCGTGGGAGACCCTGAAAGAAATTCCTGGTTCTTGGCTTCGGATCGGTGCAGCCCCGGCCGTTGCAGTCACTTGGGGAGTGAATCATTAGACAAGATCTTCCTCTCTGTCTCTCCTCCTATCTCTGTATATCTGATTTTGCAATAAAAATAAACCTTTTTTTAAAAGTCCTTTAAAAAAAACAAGTTGGGCGAAATAAGAAGACTGCACCACAGGCAAGGATGCAGGGACAGCCGAGGCCCCCAGCTGCAGAGGCCCTGGCTGCCTGCAGCTCCGGAGGACTCCAGCCGAGCCTTATCTGAAAGGAGATCAAATGTGGCTCACGGGGCATTGCTGACTCAGAGCTGCGGAACCTGTCTGTGCTGAGGCCTTGCCTGCAGGAAGGGGCGGCTGCCACAGGTCCTGGCTTGGAGTGGGGCATCTCTGTGTCCCGTGGGAGGGGGCAGCCACTGTGGGTCCTGGCTTGGAGTGGGGCATCTCTGGCCATGTCCTTGCTGAGAGTCCCATGGGAGAGAGCAGCTGCCACGTGTGCTGGCTTGGAGTAGGGCATCTCTAATGTATTCACGCTGACACACGCCTTTTAGGAGTGCTGCAACTCAGTGGACTGCATAGCTGTGCTCCACACTGGGTGTGTGTCCAGCGTCCCATCCCCTACAGCTGCACAGGTAGCTGTATTAAGTTTTGCCTTACTCCAAAACTTAATAGCATGGTTGGAACTGAGGCATACCTGCAATGCCACACTCCTTAGGGGCGCAAGTTTGAGTCCCAGCTGCTTCATGTCAGATCCAGGTACTTGCACAAATATGGAGGACTGGAATGGCTGCAATTTGGCCTAGTCCAGGGCGTTGTGGCCATCAGGAATGAGCTAACTATTGGAAAATCCATCGCTGTGTCCCTAATTCCTCTCTGTCACTCTGCCTTTAAAAATGAAGATTTTTTTTTAAAAGGCACATACATATAGTTAAAAATTCCACATACTATGTGTTCCTTCTGGAATTGGCTGGGCTGGCTTCACCCACACATCTGGGCCTGAGCAGCAGACTCGCTGCAGAATTCTGTCCTCCATAGGCCACATGCCCTTGCTGGTTCTTCTGCAGAAATGTACTGGAGAAGCAAAGCTTTGAGGGGCACTGTCACCTCAGGCACAGTTTAGCCGGGGAGCTGAGACTCCTGGGAGATAGGAGGATTTGAGGTCGGGGGTCAGGGCTCAGGGCTGTGACTGCTCTGGGGACAGGGGTCAGCCCTGTGACTGCTCTGGACACGAGAGTCATGGGTCAGCCCTGTGACTGCTTTGGGGACAGGGATCATGGATGAGGGCTGTGACTGCTCTAGGGTCAGGGCTTAGGGCTCAGGGCTTAGGCTGTGATTGCTCTAGGTATAGGGGTCGTGGGTCAGGACTGTGACTACTCTGGGGTCAGAGGTCATGGATGCGGGCTCTGACTGCTCTGGGGCTGCAGGCTCTAGGAAGTGGCTTTACTGCCCCCACTCTGGCTGTAATGTGTCTTGCTCATGAGTGAAGTGGGGTTCCCTTTGGCTGAACACTTTCCTGAGCAGTGGCTGCAGCTCTGCTTCCCTGCTGTTGGTTTCACCTTCTCCCTCAAGAGCTGCCATGTCTTTCCAGGGCATTTTTGAGATCACCTGGGGTGTGAACCCGTGTGTGGAAGGCCTCTCTCTGTGAAGGCCTCTCTCTCTCTAACCCTAACCCTTCCTCTCTTCCTCCCCCATCTCTCCTCTCTCTATAACTGCCTTTCCGATCAGAACAACAGCAGCTTGCTTTTAGGGTCAGCGTTGTTTCACTTCAGATTAAGACCATCACCAGAGACACTGGCATCCCATAAGAACACACAGTCGCAGCTGCTCCATTGTGTCCATTTCCTTGCTAATGTGCCTGGAAAGGCAGCAGAGATGGTCCGAATACTTAGGGCCTTCCCCAAGTACCCCCACTGGACTGGCAGTCATGGGAAACCCAAATAGGGTATGCTGAGAATATGTATGCTCCTGGACGCATCAGCACCCGTGTCCTGCGTCGCCCCACTGTGTGTGTGCTCCTGGACGCATAGGCACCCGTGTCCTGCGTCGCCCCACTGTGTGTGTGCTCCTGGACGCATAGGCACCCGTGTCCTGCGTCGCCCCACTGTGTGTGTGCTCCTGGAAGCATCGGCACCCGTGTCCTGCGTCGCCCCACTGTGTGTGTGCTCCTGGACGCATCAGCACCCGTGTCCTGCGTCGCCCCACTGTGTGTGTGCTCCTGGACGCATAGGCACCCGTGTCCTGCGTCGCCCCACTGTGTGTGTGCTCCTGGACGCATAGGCACCCGTGTCCTGCGTCGCCCCACTGTGTGTGTGCTCCTGGACACATCGACATCCATGAGCACCTGTTTCATCTCAGTGTAATACAGAAGCAATTGTATTAACTTTATTTAACTTTATGAAAGATTTATTTTTTTTTATTGCAAAGTCAGATATACAAAAGAGGAGAGACAGAAAGGAAGATCTTCCGTCCAGTGACTCCCCCGCGAGTGACCAGGACGGCCAGAGGCACACCCACCCAAAGCCAGCAGCTAGGAGCTCTTCTGGGTCTCCCACGTGGGTGCAGGGTCCCAAGGCTTTGGGCCGTCCTCGACTGCTTTCCCAGGCCACAAGCAGAGGGCTGGATGGGAAGCAGGGCTGCCGGGATTGGAACCAGTGCCCATGTGGGATCCCAGTGCATGCAAGGCGAGGATTTTAGCTGCTAGGCACTGTGCTGGGCCCCTAACTTTAAACATCAAGGTGGAAGTTGAGTCACAGCCTCATTTTCAGGAAGCAGCGTTTTCTGACTGAGTGTCCGCCCAGCATGCCTGTTCTGTTTCTGCCCCGTGTTGAAAAGTTGTTTGCAGAGCTGTTTGTTGGTCTGCTTCCGTAAAGAGGCTCTCCTTGGCAGAGAGCTAAGAGAGGCCAGCCCCAGACTGGCATGTAGACTGCGTGATGACTGCCTGTACTCTGCCTTTTCCAGCCCGTTGCCTCAGTTTGCCAGGCCAGAATGAGCCAGGCTTAACCTTGGCTGCCGATGCCCAATCCCACTCCTGTATCCCTCTGCTGAGGCCAGCTCCCAAGCTCTTGGCTGCCTCCATCAGTTTGGGGATGTGGGAGATCCCTAGTTTTGCTAAAAAGAGAGTTTATATTTTTTGTTGTTTATTTTCTTTATGCTTTTGAACAATTCTAGCAAAAGGTCAAGGAAATGACATTTGCCACCATCTTGTGTACAGGAACATCTGGGTTCTCAGGATCTTCACACCCACTCCCAGATCCCCCTCCCCCACCTAGGGTCTTCACACCCACTGCCTGGACAGCCGCTCCCCCACCTAGGGTCTTCACACCCACTCCCTGGCAGCCCCACCCCCACCTCAGGGTCTTCACACCCACTCCACCTCAGGGTCTTCATACCCACTCCCTGGATGATCCCACCCCCACCTCAGGGTCTTCACACCCACTCCCTGGCAGTCCCTCCCCCACCTCAGGGTCTTCACACCCACTCCCCAGACAGCCCCTTCCTCCTGTGGCAAGGACCCCTGGGTTCT